TCTACTCTATCAGAATACGTGGAGCAGAAATAACTTATAACTTTTGGTGAGAATGATTAAATTTAATATGCAGCAAATACTTTACAGAAGTATTTCCCGCATATGCTGTTCCAATTACTGGAACTGACACACTTGCTGACCGGTTTCGGGCTATTTGCCCTCATCAATATACGAGTCGATGATATTCCATAATTGAAAATCGAATTTTTTTCAGAGTAACATTTCTCGAACCAGGCCGAAGCGAACGACAAACAACATATTTGTCATACCGCGACGACACATATGTTGTTTGTCGTTCGCTTCGAATTATTAGTAATCGAACTGTTTGAATAATCGAATTATTATTCGAATTATAAATCCCTCACAATGCGCAGTAAAGTCACTCAATACATATCGATAATACAATTTGTGATACTCTATTTCTATTAGAATAAACTGTGATTTTTACTGTAAGCTCAAATACAATGTTTTATTTCATTTTTATATATTGAGAATTTATTTTGAATTTGTGAATTTACAGTTCATATTGTTCATTAAATTCTATGTTTGAACTTTAGAATGACATTTCATTATTTTTGAGTTAAATCAGTGCCGACGGTTCTCAATTGGCTTTGGTAGTAGGTGTATTTTGTTGACAATAATCTTATTCTAGACCAGCGAACCATCCCGGCATCCCAGGGGTGTAATGCTGATACTAAATTTGTTTGAAGGTTATTGACAATGTTTCATGATGAATTTCACTAGTTCGGACTTCCATTGTCTACTATATGAAATGATTTGAAATCCCTGAAACAACTAAAAATAGAAAAATTAAAAATGTTGTTATTTTCACCTATTCAGGGATTTCAAATCATTTCATATAGTAGACAATGGAAGTCCGAACTAGTGAAACTAATACTAAATATAAATTCACCCGTCGGAAATTTGAGGGCATGGAGAAACAGTGATGAAAAGATAATTTTGTTTTATGGGCGCGCCTTTTTCCTCCGCTGCTGGCACACCAAATGAAATATTTGAAAATCCTTTCTTATTGCACATCTACAATATAAAACGAATCTACATACAAAAATTTCAGCCTCCGAAAATATATAACAGTGATGAATTGGTAACTTTATTGAACGCGCCGTTTTCCCCAGGACTGGCGTCTCAGTTAGAATATTAAAAAATAGTTTCTTATTGCATATATACAACATAAAACCAACCTACATTCAAAATTTCAGCCTCTGAAAATATAGCGGTACGGAGAAACAATGATGAAAAGGTAATTTTTATATTGGCTTCCTAAGTCTTACCTGTATGGAGAAACTGAGATGAATGAGTGTTAAATGAGAGACTTTCGCATTTATATAGTATAGATTTGGTCATTTCCGCGAAAAATTGCTCGCTGTCTGTTCGATTGAATAACATCGATGACAAAATAACTTTTGTCGGAAATAGTGCCATCTGGAATAGGATTAGTGTTAAGAAAAGTTCCGACTCTCAACTTGACTTGAAAATGACAATATTTGAAGTAGTTGTGATTCTGTTATAAGCAATCAAGAACAGCTATATGTATGTTTGAGTTCTACGATGCAAATAATGTCAAACTATGGTCAAATGCGCCTAATGAATCAACGACCATTAATTGAAGAAGAATCATTCGAATTACCTTGATAATCGATTCGATATTGGGTAACTTTTTAAGAATCGAATGAAAAATCGGTTTTTACTTATATAGTTAAGTATAAATGTGGTTGAGGTATATATTGTATTTGTTCATTTGTTGGCCGTTAAGTTTCTTTTTACAAAACTTACTTTCTTCGGGTTTCATCAACATTAAGCATTAAGAATGTCTCCCTCAAGTGATGAATCCTTAATGTGTAATTATTTTAAATTCAGCAAAAATAACCAATTGCCAGCTTCGCAAAAAAGGACTTCAAGTAACGCTACAACTCACGTATTACCTGATCACATATCAAAAGAAAGCATACAATAATACCGCCGAGTATTGGACACACCTAAAGAAGCTACTGTATAGTGAAAGAGCATTTCAATTTTGTTAAACGGTTTTGTGAAATTTTCGCCATTCTCTATCGAACAGAAAATAATTTCACTAGATAATTTTTTTATATAAAATCCATTATGTAGGTACATAAGTTTCCTTCAGATACAAACTCAACAACAAACCCATCTGTGGTAAATTTTCCATTATGAAAAAAGATTTCCCGAAAATAACTTCTCATTCAGTTTATACATCACAATTCAAAGTAATTGTTTCGGGTGGATGTTTTCTTCCAGTTTGGATACAACTCCTGTATATCCCTGTGGAGATTTTGTTAATATGCTTTTCGTGGTAGACTGAAATAAAAGGCAAACAGTTTTGTTTTAGGATAGGGTTAATTATTTTATATTTTCTTGAAAACTTCCGATCATCACAATATAATACTTAGACAAAAGTTAATTTTGGTTTATAATAATCATATGATGATTGTGAAACGGGGATAACTATTTTGCAGGTCTGCAAATTGTTCTCAGTAGTTCTCAGTACTCTTGTAGGAGGACAAAAATTTTTACAGGTCGGGTCTGCCAGACATGAATCTCGACCAGGTTATTAATTTTCGACAAAAAAAATTTCAACCCCCACCCTTTGACTATGGAAAAATTCCACATTTTTCATTAAATTAAGAATAAACCTTGCAGGTCGGCAAAAATTCTTGCAGGTCGGGTATGCCAAACATGAATCTCGACCAGGCCAATCATTTTCGATCAAACAAATTTTAACCCGCACCCTTTAAGTATGGAAATATTCCACATTTTTCATTAAATTGAAAATAAACTTTGCAGGTCGGCAAAAATTCTTGCAGGTCGGGTATGCCGAACATGAATCTCGATCAGGTTAATCATTTTCGATAGAAAAATGTTTCAATCCCCACCCAGAAATTTCACAATCAAAATTTGAAAACAAATTTTGCAGGTCGGCGGAAATTCTTGCAGGTCGGGTATGCCAAACATGAATCTCGACCTTTTTCTGTCGAAAATGATTAACCTGATCGAGATTCATGTTTGGCATACCCGACCTGCAAGAATTTCTGCCGACCTGCAAGGTTTATTTCCAATTTAATGAAAAATGTGGAATTTTTCCATACTCAAAGGGTGGGGTTTGAAATTTTTTCTGTCGAAAATGATTCACCTGATCGAGATTCATGTTTGGCATACCCGACCTGCAAGAATTTCTGCCAACCTGCAAGGTTTATTTTCAATTTAATGAAAAATGTGGAATTTTTCCATACTCTAAGGGTGGAGGTTGAAATTTTTTTTGTCGAAAATGATTAACCTGGTCGAGATTCATGTTTGGCATACCCGACCTGCAAGAATTTCCGCCGACCTGCAAAATTTATTTCCATTTTTTTTGAGAATTTTGAAATTTCTGGGTGGGGGTTGGAAAATTTTTCTGTCGAAAATAATCAACCTGGTCGAGATTCATGTTTGGCATACCCGACCTGCAAAATTTGTTTCCAATTTTTTGAGAATTTTGAAATTTCTGGGTGGGGGTTGAAATTATTTTTGTCGAAAATGATTAACCCGGTCGAGATTCATGTGTGGCAGACCCGACCTGCAAAAATTTCTGTCCTATAAGAATACGAGAGCAATGTCTACTGAGAACAATTTGCTGACCTGCAAAATAGTTATACCCTTGTGAAACAACCTTCTTACTTTTTTAATTTTCGAAACCGAAAGCCTTTGTGTTTGGCTGGGCTAAAGCCTCGATGAATACCAAAAACCAATTGAGGATTTGAAAAAACTTGACCACGTCAAAATTTCTGTTATAATTTTTTACGCCAAGCATGTCGATATGGGTACTCAAAAACTGGAAAACCGGAAGTGAAAATTGGGTAACCAGAGGCGAAAACTGGATAACCGAAAACATAAAAACCAAATAGTTCCGAAGTAATCGAGTGAAATTTAATAATGGAATTTTTCGATTTTCCGTATTCAATTCACCCGTTACCTACTAATTCGAATTAGCCCATCACTGATATCAACTTAAATTAAAGCCTAAGTTTTTATAATATAAATTAGTGTTATAAAAAGCATGGGGTTTCTTTTATTGAACAGCGGAATACGACACGAAATTTGTGCTTTGCAACTGTGAAAATTTTGGCTCATTGATACCTATTCAGCGAACACGATTCTCGAACTCATAGAGATCAATATGTTATTAATATCCTCAATTTTAAACCTCAACTTCAATACACATCTCGAAGAATTTAGTGTCCGTAGTTTCCTCACAGCCCCTTACGACTCTTGAGAAATGTATTTGAGAGATGTAATTTAAACTGGCAGACCAGAATATTCAGAAAGCTATAAGGTAATTTGTCCAGTGGAGTCCAATAACTTATATAATGGACCACATTATACACATGTTTGACTTGATCTGACATTCTATACCTATTTGATTTGTCTATTGTGCATATCGACCCTTCTTTAAGGCTTTATAATGTAACATTTTATAACAAATTATTATTATTATTAAACTGATATCATTCATAGACAAAGGTTGACAATGTAATAAATGATATATTACCTTTCACTTTCGACTTGGACCCAGTTTCAGATGAAAACACTCATTTCCAATTGCTCTTCACCAATTATCTGGACAATTTGAAGTACATTTCAGTAGTTTTACATTCATCATTCATGATACTTCAAAACTGAATCTAGTTACTTTGATCCCAGTCAATTGAATTAGATTTATAAAAGAAAAAGGTACTAGGTGGAAAGTGTTATTAGTACGTAAAAGTGTTGATAAGGAAGTTTTTGTTCCCCCTGTTCGAGATGAGAATGGAATTTTCTCATTTTCCAAGGTCATTGAGAAATAAAGGAAAAAATGCTAAAAGGCATTTTTCCACATGTTATAAAACAAGTCGCTGTGACAATATTGTTGAAAATCCCGAAAAACTAAAGTGGTTCAGATTGAAAAGTAGGATTGGACAACAAAGGGAATTATTGAATAATACAACTGTAGCCACTCCATGTATTGTCATTTGATAAAATATACATCTATTATTCCAACATTATTCTATTTGAAAATTTAACTCAAGATTCTATAACAGCATATGTACAATATAATTTAAATATCTCTTTCACCAGACAAATAATCAAGTGGCCTCCTTATAAATTGTTTTGAGGAATTATATAAATGCAATGTTTTCTATATTTGAAAGATCTTTTTAACAAAAACGTGCAACTTCCTCTACTCTGAATGGTAAAATTCTTGAAAAATTGTGTTTTCTGAAATCTCTCTTAAAAACACCATATTCAATTGTCAATGAATTTAAAACTTAAAAATAATCAGTTCCTTCAATGTAGAAAAATTGAAGACTAGGCAGCTTTTACAGAGATTATAAATAATGGTCCTAAAGGAATAGAAATCCATGCTCACATTCTATCAACATCAATACTTTTGGGAGATAATTACGATTTTCTGAACTTGAATGAACATGACTTTTTTTTGCATAATTTATGAAAATGGATTTTGGAACTCGAGGGTTTTTTTAATATTTTTTTAGCAATAATCTCAATATATATTCCTGGAACAACCAACTCAATTGATCAAAATATGTGCACTTCCATACTTTACAAAATTAAATAGTAAATGTATTCTTGTAATATAATTCAAGATGAAAGTTACTCGATCCATGGTCTTGGAATTATTTCGAGGGTAGGAGGATAGGCAATGTAAATGCAATTACTTTCGTTTATAATAATTTACGGATTTTATCAAATTATTATAGTAATTTTTCTGGGATAATTTCTTGTATTACTGGTATGTTGCCCATATAATTTTATTATTAAAAATATAAAATAAATATTAAAAATGTCTATGCTCAAATACTAAATGATCATTGAACCATAAACTCTGACTTATATACGCACTAGTGCAGGGTACCATTGAATGTTGTAGCAAATTGACTACAGCCTTTAGAAACTGAAGATAAGTCTCGTTTAGAACAATCATAATACTTCAGCTTGTAAAGGCATCTTGTTCAGAATATGTGGTCCAAATCGTTCATATTCTTCCTCAATAACAGACCTGTCAAGGTCTGCATTCAAAATAATGACTGGAGCCACACAATTGTGCAAAGTTTTTCGGCATAACCAATCTTCATGAATATCGTGTAGAGCTTGAATATATTCAAAAGGAACTGTTCTTTCCTCAGATCTGTTACGTTTCAAAATCCGTTCATAAGCTACCTCAGGAGATGTTTTAAGGTAAACAATCAGATCGACCTTCGTATCTTCAAATTTTGTAATGTACTTAAACCATTCGTCAATCACTGCTACTGAAGGGGCAGCCATCAATCCATCTCTTGACATTTTCTCTACGAAACAATACCTTGCACTGTATAATGATCGCTCCATTAACTTTACAGGTTGGTGAATTTTTTTTTGGTGCTGCCTAAGCATCGTTAATTGAACATATGATTGGAAAGTGAAGCTCCATTTCTTTGGATCTTTATACATTAAGTCCTGAAAATTACCTGTAATTAAAAACTCTGTGTCTAGGAATGCATGACTTACCAATAGGTTGTAGCCATTGCAATTTCTCCAGAGGTCAATTGGTTCTGCAAATACACCAACATTGTCGAATTTGTTGAAGTAATTTAAAAAAGTCGTTTTTCCACTACCGACATTTCCTTCTACGGCTACTGTAAAGGGATGTGATAATACTGATGTTGGAGATGCCAGTGAATTTGCCATTTTTGATACAATTTTCTTTACTATGTTCATACCACCAATAGTAAAACCTTTAAGCGGGAAAAGCTCTATCACACATTTAACCTAAAAACACCATAAACCATAAATACACAGAGATAATTTTACGAATTTTTTCCCTCCATTGAAATGACAGACCTGATTGAAAAATCTGTAGACAGCAGCCAACACGTTGTTACACCAGTATTTTCTTACGAATGTGTGGAAGGGCTAGAAAAATCGTTAATATCTTTTTTCCACAATTATGTGTTTTATCGCATATTTTATTGGTGACATATGTGCATTCTTCCGTTATCTCAGCATTTATTGTAACTAATCAATACAGTGTATTGTATGATTTTCACTTTAAAAGGTTATACAAAAACCGCGAAACGTTTTTCTCTATACAATAGCTTCCTCAAGCATGAACTTGAGTTCACGCTTGAGGAAGCAATTGTATAGCGATACACCTGTGACGGTTTTTCTTGAACCCTTAAAAGTAAAAATCATGCAGTAAACTATATTAATTAGTTTTAATATGGATTTTCATCAAGTATCGGCCAGTTCTATTCAATTATTCAGCAATTTATTGTATTCATTTGTAAGTTATTTTGTATAATTTCAAAGTTAATTGCATAAAATATTAAAATGAAATTATAGCTTTGTAACTTTTCATGGCCTCGAAAGTAAACATACAAATATTTCATTAACTTACCTATGAAATGTTACACCAAAAAAAATCTACCTGAAAAGGTCAGGTATAAATTCATTAACTATATGAATAAATTAAATTTCCGAAAATACCATAATCATACTTTTCTTACCGGGAAATAAACAGATTCAATAATGGCGAATTATTCAGTTCAGTTTGATCATTCATAGGATATTAAGAATTTTCAAATTTGTTCATTTCCATACTCTCCAACAGGTTAAGTTTTAAACTTTTTTTCTGGGAATGGAGGGGCTTGATTCATAATTGAACTCATGTTCCTCTGTGATCAAATGAGTGGCATATGTGGAGTTTATCTTCACATTCTGGAAACTATTTGTGTGTTCATTTATGCGGGTTTTGAACTTTCTTTTAGTTTGACCTATACAAAACATCGGACATGATCCACATGATAATTTATATATTCCCGATTTTTCCGAAACTGAATTTTCATCTTTGTTTATTTTCAATCTGCATGAATAAGTTGTTGGTTTTGAAAGCAATATTTTTTTATCTTTGTTGTGCAGAAATTTTGAAATATTCGTATTGGGTTGGCCTCAGTGGGTTAAGGTTCTATAACTTTTTATCCTCATCACTTCGAATTGGGTAAACTTCCTGCAAAGCTTGGCTGTATAACTTTTTTGATAATAGGGAATACATTAGACTGCTATCGTAATGAATGTTGACGGCCAATTGTTTTATTATGTTCAGTTCTTCATTGAAATTCGAATATGACAATACTGAATCACGATTGACAAGCTTCGATTCATCTTACATAAAGTTCACCATACTTTAGTCGTCACTCGGCGATTTGAGTGTCAGTGTGACTATACGTACGTGAACAAATTGATATTTATTTTTACTTTTCAAAATCATTATTTCAAGCTAAGAAATATTTGTCGAGACGAAAGCTTTCAAAAATTAACTGCTGTTAATTTAGAAAATTAGATACCTTCTATTGAGTTGCGCAGTTGAAAATTAGCACGAACCTGATTTCTGACATTTGTGGCAGTTCCGTTTTGTGGTATCTGAACGGTACACAAACTATAAACTGTAAGTTCAGTGGTATTTAATTTTAGATAGGGTGCATGCGTGAACTGATATGAATAAGTGTAGCAGAATTTTGGTTCGTGAGCACCGACTTTGAAGTTTATCCAGTTGGCAACACTGGTGCGGATGGTGTCACAGAATAATAAATGGTGGCAATAGCTGCTAGTGACAGTACTGACTTTTCAATTAAATAATAAGCGGGAAGATGTATGACAACAGAAGAAGTTAGTGAGTAGTTGATTTATTTTGATGCGATATGATTCTTTGTGGAAGTATAAAGGATAGTTTTGGAAAAAAACCAACAAAACTCACCGTGACCTTATACATACTGAATTGAGATTACTTTTCGTCTATGGCTATTAATTGAATATGTGATAACTCTCCTCCTAGTTTCATTTCTCTATCCACAAAAATCAGAATGGATTTACTTGAAGAACCAGAAACCAAAAAGACCTACGAAAAATGCAAATACATCGTAAAAGTTTGGGAACATAAATTCGTTAAAAAACATAGAAGGGTGCCATCAAAGGTAAGTGAAATGGAATGGTTACAACTAGAAGTACAACTCACCTTATGCATGCACAAAAACCTTGTAGGAGGGAATGCTCTGTAAGACTGGAAAGCTTTTTGACCCTTTCTTCATTGATTTATAAAGAAATATATCAAACCCAGGGTTTCCAATGAAAAAACTTGAAACCTTTTATGTAGTTCGAACTATGATTGATCCTCTGTTGAGAGCTCTGACAAACTGGACAAATTGATATATACAACATTTGAATGACAAAAATCATCACAATTCAAATCAATTCTGTGTTCAGAGCAATTAGAATGGGATTTATGAAAACAAAATTTCCAAAATAAACTGAATATTCGAAGAATCATACAAGGATTTTAGTCCAATCATTCAAACTATCTGAAAACTTTCTGATGAGGGACTCTCACCTGAAATCCAGAGTTCAATTTATAACTGAATGTATTTTGTGAGTGCAATGTTATATAAATAATTTTTCATTTACTGTGTTTGGTATAGCTTTTCTGAATGAATCTGGATCAATTCTCTCAGATTATTAGCTATACAAACTAAAAATGGGGAAGAGTTATTTCTTTCACTTTCGTGTCTAAAGGAAACTTATCAACTATCTACATGTTTTTCTTAAGGTTCTCATTGATATTTGGTATTTTTTTATTTATTTCAAAGAATCCACTTCAAATATTGATTGAAAGTTGAAAAGCAAAAAGTTTCACTTCAGATAGTTTACAAAATCAATTTGCTTATTTTAAAATTTATTCTGTGTTCAAAGGGATATGATTTTGACAGCAAAATTGTTAGGAGAAACAACATGTGGATGCTCGTAGAACTCTATGAAATATAACTTCTCAAAAGGAAAGTCTAATCAGTCAACAATTTGCCATATTTATAAGTTTTGTCTAGCAAATGAAATGAAATAGCTTTCATATTTTGAATTTTCTCTAGAATAAGATTGATGTATAGAAAATTTGTCTTTCTGATTTCAGACCACGTTTTCTCTTGATAGCTGTCAAAGTAATGGAAGAATGAAATTTCCATCTTCGACTTCACTATCAGTGATAGTGGGTTTGAATACACTTGTTACCTGAATACACATACGCCCTGGCTTTTTCATGTGTCTAGTTGACCATTTTTGTTATATTCCACTTCATTGTGTAATTCCTGATTTTTACAAATCTGTTCTTCTGGCGTGTTCCTAGGGGGACTTGATGTTTTGTCGATACCGATATAAATTTTCAGACACATTCTTCACTTTTTATAGCCAATTTGTTTCAACTTTTCAGATAACCGGAAACATAACATAACATAACATATGATATAAGTTGCCATTTGTGTGTATTATGTTGATTGTACATTGTTACATATTTATAAATGCTTTAATTTTCATTTCAGCTTGATATAAGAGATGCACCCAAAGAGGTACGACACGCTTATAGAAAATATTTTCAGTTGAAAACAGCTGCTTTAGAACAAAGTTTCATGGATGTTGATGGATTTGATGAAGAAGATGAGAATACTGTCAAAAATTCCACTGATTCAGAGTTCGATAAAAATAATGTGAAAGAAGATCTATTAGGTTTTACAGGTAGAGTTGAAAAGCAGTTGAAAGATGAGGGAGTTCCAAGGGACCTTCAATGTCCTACTAAAACCTGTGATAGTAAAATATCTGAAAATAATTTGATTCAAGTGCCCGAGGAAGTATGGGGAGCTCATTTGAATCATAAACAGAAGGGAGGAAAAAAATCCGTAGAAAATGTTGAACAAAATACAAATTTGAAAATAACAAAAAAGCTTTTTTGTGGTTCAAAATTTGTTAAAAGGAATCCCAGGAAATCACTGTCATTTTCCCAAAAGAATAAAAGTGAAACAAAATCTGAAAGTCAAGATTTATGTACACAGCCCGCATCAGTACTTACCTCATTTTCATCATTTAATTCTGAAGAAGCGTTATTTTCCTCACAAAATGAGGAATCAAATAGTAATTTTAAATTCATACATCATTCTGAAAAGGTTTCGTCTCAACCAGTCAATATAATAACAAGTGTTTTAGAAAATAACTCTCGAAAACCTCTGAAGTCTGTTGATGAAGGTTGGTTAAAAAGAATAATTCAGAAAACTGGAGCATCACTTGAAAACCCGGATTTATCCTTATCTCAGCCATTTGAAATTTCAAGTTCCATCGAGCACGTGGGAACTGAAACAACAAAACTAGATTATGATAGTGAAGATATAATTGAAGAATCAGATGATGAAACTCCACTGAAACATAATACTTCACTTCATATATCTAAGAAAAAGAAAATCGATTTAACAAATAATATGTTAGTTGAAAGAGTTGGTACAAATAGCAAAAAACTTGATGTAAATGCTACTTCAAATAATTCAGCGGAAAGAAGCAATGACATTATTTCAACTGAGACCAGGCAAGTTTTTGCCAAAACAATATTGTCTGGTGAACAAACCAAAGCTGACGATGAAATTTTTTTCCAAAAAAGATCTTCATTGAATGAAATTGTCTCTGTAGAAAATGCAGAAGGTTATCCTTTATCCGATAAATCCAGTCTTCGAATCAACCTACATAAATTCGATGCAAAACATTCTGCAGAACAAAATGTACTGACAAAATCAGCAAAGAAAATTAATTCAGTATCCCAAAAAAGTTCTTCATCTAAAAACAAACAAAGCCAAAGAAAAACTATTCCTAGAAAAAAACAAATCAAACAATTGAATCCTGCGAAGCTGGAGAATGAAACTATTGAATCAGAACATTCACCTAGAAGATCTTCCAGAAAAACCAAAGTCAAAATTAGTTTACAGGAATTCCCCAGTGATGAGGATCCGTTCCATACTGATAATGATGAGAAAGATCCTGAATTCAGCTTGAATGAGGATGAGAAGAAGTGCACGTATAATTTTGAGGAACCCATTCCCTTAGAGAAAGTTCAAAAAGATGGGGTTTCTGTCAAAGGTAGGAGAGTGAGAAAGGAAAAGTTGAAAGATAGTCGCGCAGAAGAGGACGGCGATGATATAAACTCGTATGATTTAGAATTTTCAGTTAAACCTCGCGTTGTTGTTCCTAGATTCAGCAGTATAAGGAAAGTAATTACTGAAGCAAAAATTGCATCCAAAGCAGTTTCAAAGAAATCCAAGGGGGATAAAATAGTAGATGATTTGGCTTCAGTAAAAGATAAGACCGAACAAGCAAAAACCATTTTGGAGAAGAAAATTACTTCAGGAAACCTAAATGAAAATTTTGTTCGTATAAATATAAAGAAGAAGGTGTTTGTCCGTGGTAAGAGTGGAAGAAGCTTCACCAAATTCAAGAAATCTCAGTGGAAAAAAAACAAAGCCAAATCACTCTCTGGACCTGATATGGATATGGGAGGGTGTGATGGTGGTATGCTGACTTGTTACAAATGTGGGCAAACTGGTCATTTTGCCAGAAACTGTGAAGCTACTAAAGGCGATGAGCTTTTGCCTCTATCTGTCGAAAATGAGGAACATTGTCCTTATCCGACTTTGGAGGAAGCATCACAAATGGCCAAAAATAGCTTTCTTAGTGTTAGAATACCCAAAGTTACTTCAAAAGAAAAATACAATTCTGGTAATGGAGACATAAATGATGATTCTTTAGGAAATATTCAAGAAACTGAAAATGATCATGATATTTTCGATGATGAAAATTCAGAGGAATTACTTATGGAAGCACTTCGATTAGAGGAACATGTGAAGAAATTGGATGTGCAGATGTACATGGATAAAGTGAAAGTCGTTGAACCTTATTTCAAGTTAAAGGATGACGGCAGTATCATAGGTATGATAACATTTTTCATTAATGAATAGGCAATGTGCTAGTCAAGAAAATATCAGAATCAGAATATGCTTTATTGTCGAAAGAATACAATTCTTGTTGACAAAGTCAGTTGTCGTACATGGATGTATGTTAAAATATAGTTAAAATAACACTTACAGATGTATAAACACAAATAAACACAGGATCTGATCAAATTAGAGTAAATAATGGTACATATATATATATATATATATTATTGTGTCCAATTCACATTTGAAGGTTAACAAGTTAGTTTTGGAGATGTTGAGTACAAGGAGATTATTGTCAAACCATGTTCTTATTGTTTCGAGATCACGTTGTATGACAATGTGTAAAGATGTTTCATCACTACTGTGCCAAAGTATAGTGGTATCATCTGCAAATAACGTGAACCTCCCAGATATATTCAAATGGGAGATATCGTTAACATTTAACAAAAATAAAATAGGTCCCAGTACCGAACCCTGAGGCACACCACATCTAGTAGCTCCAATACGTGAATAGTGGTCCGTTTTTACCAACTGGCTACAATTCTCCAGGTAAGATCTAAACCACTGCAGGCTAATTCCTCTGAAACCATAATAATCAAGTTTGTCTAACAGAATTTGGTGATTTACGCAATCAAAGGCCTTGGTTAGGTCGCAAAATACTGCCGCGGTTGATTGCCCTTCATTAATTCGTTTGTAGACTTTTACCAAAATTATGTCTTGAAAAGAAATTAGTTAACACGTTCCAGATTTTCAGGAAGTCTAGTGGGAAATATATGAAGATGAAGGAGGTTGATTACTTGAATTTCACTTCCTACACATAACTTGGGAAAGTATGTTTAACGTGATTGAAAATTTTATAACTGGCTCATCTGATACGGAATTATTACAGTTCCATTTATTTAACATTGTTCGCTGGTGTGGTATAAACTTATTGCAAATGAATATAGACAAATGTTATAAATTTACTTTTTTCCAAAACAAAAATCTCATAAATCGTCCATATAAAATCAAGCAATCAGAACTGGAAACAACAAATACAATCAAAGATTTCAAAAATGTCATTCAAACCCCATATTGCAAATGTTGCTTCTAGAGCACTTAAAATGTTAGGTTTTTCTCAATAATCCAATAAACTCCACAATTTGGTGTTCTTCTTATAATGTAGATATTGATATGCTTGAAAGTGTTCAAAACAAGTTTTTGAGGTATTCTTAACTTCCATAGGAGATTAGAATCAAATCTTCTTTTTTTAGAACTTCATTAATGCAATCATAGTTACGATTAACATTTTAAATAGTATTTGAAATAGCAGCACTATCCAAAAAAAAGCAGCATCAACATGCTGGTCTAGGAAAACTAGCTAAAAACAATATAATAATACTTAAGAGTTTATACGGTACAACAATATAATACTATCAAGATTCATTTGAGAATACATAATGCAAATGTAAATATAATAAAGATCTAATAGTAATTGATTCAGAGAAATTAAAAGATTTAAGCCGTTCCTTCGTTGAGTATACTAGTATAAAGACTCTTTATTTAATTCTTGAAGATACTGACATTAGGGCTATCTGTTATTTCTTTGGAAAGAGTATTAAAAGTTTTCATGCATAGTGTAATGGCATTATTTAAGACAATATTAGTAAGTACTGGTTCTAAAAAGACATTATTATGGGTACGAGTATTGTATTCGTGGAGCTGATTAACGAATGTGAAGTTTGTATTACATTTGACTTGTTCATGTATAACCTTGTATGCAAATTTACTTTGTTTGATATCTAAAATATCCAGAATAGGCAGTATCTTGGTTACACTGTAGGTATAAAATATCAGTTGAGGTTCTGTAGTCAAGCCTGAATAACATTTTCTCGACTATGTTTTGAAGTGTTTTTATTTTTTTGACTAATGTCTGTCCACATGTACCCATATAGAAATTAAATAGCTAAATATTGATAATAAATATGCATTGCATGTTTGATGGAGTGAAGATGGGTAAAAGTAGGTTCTACAACGATACAGAGTACTAACCATTGGAATTATTATTTTTTTCTAAATGGGTGATATGGTTATTCCAGCATAGGTTTTCATCAACTATTAGTCCCAGATATTCGATATTATGGACTCTCGTTATTTCTTTGCCTCCTATCTCCACCATGATGTCCTGTAGTTTCATATTTTTCTAAGAGAAGATTATAAAAGTAGTCTTCTTTACATTGATCCGAAGTTTTTGCAAGCCATCTGTGATGCCTTTCAAGGTTGGTATTTACTAGTGTTTCGAGTTGTTTCAAGTCTTTACCCTTATATACAAGAACAGTATCATCTGCGAATTTTTAAAGTATCTATCTATAATGTTGGCAGTTTTTAATGACAGAACATGTAATGTATAGAGTAGGGGTCCAAGGACTGAGCCTTAGGGCACACTTGCTTTGGTAGTTTCATTTTGGCTTGAAATGCCATCAACCACTGAATTGTTTGCGATCTAGAAGGTATATTTTTAGTAAGGAGGGAGCATTTTTCATTTCTTCAAGTAATGTAGAGAAATCAACAACATCAAATGCTTTTCGTAGATCAAGAAATACAGCAATAATGTATTATTTATCATCCAGTGAAGAAGCAATGACGTCTATAGTTGCACTCAGGGTGCTACTATTTTCATGGAATCCATATTGGTAATTGTCAAAGTAATCACATTTTTTTCATGTAATTTATAATACATTTCTTTAAAATTACTTCTATTACTTTTGACAGAGTCGGAACTACTGAAATAGGCCTATAGTTATTAATTGTATATGTACATTGAACAATCACTTGTGATTTCCTCAAACTCAGTGAATGACCCTATTTGTACATTTACATTATTGATTTACCAATATCAACTAAATATCGGTTAATTTTTTCAGTTATATTTTTGGGATCTTCAAGGATTTGTCCCTCAATTTCTAGATTAGTTATCTGATTACTTTGGTGATTACCTTTGATAAGATTTAATAAGATAAGAGTTTCCATTGGTTTTTCTGGTTATTGCCTGTATCGCTCCAGTTTTCCCCAAGTATTCCTGTTTCAGTTTTTTGCGTTTTCTCTCTACAATATTTTTCTGTTTTTGTAAGTCCCTGGCTATACCTTGATTAAAAGAATGTTTCATTAATTCTAGAAATTCCCTTGTAATCCAATCCTCACCTTTATATTTTATTTCATATTGAGTTGTTGATTTTTTTTACAAACCTGTATGGCTGTTGATAGTTTTTCAAAGCTGTTTATATGATGGCTGTTTATCAACTGATGGAATTTTTGTTTGAAGTTATTTTGATTTAGCAAAAGGAAACTATTTTGAAGTCAATAGGGTGTATTTCGTTACACTTTTGAATAGGCCAGGAATAACCGTCCTCGAGTTATTGATTTTTTTTTATGAAAATGTTAGGTACAATAATTGGAAACTAAATGACATCGAAATGTATAGAAATTATCCCTTCGAATTCTGACCAAGCATAAAAGATGTTTTGGGCTATTGGTTTCGACAAGCGGGTACAACTTTCCGGGAACCACTGGCAAAAAAGCCATGTGGCGTTCAAAATCTCCTGGTCTGAGTTGATGAACTCTTCTGGTCCTGTATGGCTTGAATTTGCGTTTTTTCAAAATTATCATAACGTAAATTCTTGGTAGGCCTGTTGATATTTTCAAATTTCGTGTTGACGTTTTGGAATTATTTTCAACAGCTCCTAAAACGTGTATTTCTTCCATTTCCTTATCCCTATTTGATCCATATAATTTTGTCTTTTTCTTTTCAAATTGACCACCATCAATTAGGTTGTGTCGTAATCTTGCATAAACGTTTCTAAAAGATTGTTTTCTCTCTGGATACCTCTTGACTATCCCATTTTTCATAATTCTCATACTTCATTGTGAATGTGTTTGAAATTGAACAAAAACCACTAATTGAAAAGCGTCTTTACTGCTTAAATCAAAATTTGATATCTACCAGTAAAGATTTGCATTCTGTTTTATTGCCGCATCCTCCAAAGCCTCTTGATCAAAGTGTGCCTTTTAAAGTCTATATGAAAAAACCTAAAAGCTCTGTATTTCAAAGATGATTAGCAAAACATCAAGTGTGTTACATTTTTGGAAAGGTATCTCTATTGAAATATGCAGGAATATACAGGGTGTCCCAATAAAAAATAGTTTTCCATCATTAACTATTGATATCTCATTTGAAAAAAATATTTTTTACATCATTGAATTCTACGTAAAATAGTGCTTTGGAAATGTTTTCATAGAAACAAGAAATTTTTGACAGCAAACGTGCTGTAAGATGATAGATATCAATATGCGGTTTTCACCATTGAGTTTGTCAGTTTTCATCTATCTAGTTTGAAAATAGGAATTTCCCTTTAAAGTGTTCTATTTGGTCCACTCTGTACCTAGCATTTTCATAAAAAAATCAATAACTTGATAACGGTTATAGTTAGGTACATAGTACCTTATGAAATCATATAATTTTTTCCTGATCTATTCAAAATTGTGACGAAATACAGGATGTTCCATTTAAAAAGCCACCGTGTAGGCTCCAAAATAATTTCGTTTTGCAGCTTTAATCAATATACATATAATCAAATGTCGAAATTCCCGGAAAATAAATGGTTTGGTTTACAGGGACCATGCCGTATGGGGTGTCCCACCCTTTATACAGTTCTGATGTAAGTAGTACCCCCCTAGAAGTCGGTCTTGTGTTTGAAAAATATTTCAGTTCTCTATCTAAGACTTTTATTTTTGGAAATCAGATTAGCCCTTTTCGAGTAAATAGCAGTTCAATGTTCTTTTAAAGAATCTTCAAATAAACAATAAATATAAATAATTTCAAGAAAAATTTATTTAAAACTCCATTTCATTCTAATAAACGTTCAAAATGTTCACCATTTGACAATAATAAAGTCTTTTTACAAGTTTACTTTCTATATTATAAAATGTTCCTGGGGTGATTTCATTGCAACCACCTCTTTTTCTATCCAGGAGTTCTGAAATGACTGAATTGTGATGTGTATCGAACACTTCAGGTGTCACGCATCCTCTCAAAAATATCTAGAGACATCATATCAGGTGATCTAGTGGGATCTTCTAAGGGAGCACATCTGCTTGTCTACCGGTTTGGATAATTGACAAACTCAAATGAGTTTTCAACTGATGTTTCTGCCGATCTAATTTCCAAACAAGGAAAAGTATTGAATAGATAACTGAAATAACCATCGAAATATTTATCACAAGACCCCCACTTTCCATTCGAAAAAAAGGTTGGTAGCAACCCTCTCGGTTACAAGTATACTAAAAATTATACATTTTTACATACATTTTGCCAGACCTTGATGTCTTGTCCCATTCAAAAGTTAAAGTGGAGGGAACTATTTACCTCGGAATTGTATAATTTCATATGTAAATGTTTTGTTATTTGTCAAGGGGATACATATCTTGGTATGTCATAGCTTGTTGCACTTACATTTGAAGTATTTATGTAAAAAATATTCAGATATGAATCCAAACAAAGAAAAAATAGTGTGATATTTGTTTCTAACTTTAATTTCATGTAGAATAAAGTGCATATGCCTTTCAATTTAAATATCACCATCGGTTAGGTATTTATCAATACCACAATTGAAATACTTTTCAAAATAAGAAATTTTCAATCACTAAAATATTTAAAATGTAGTTTTTTCTCTTTAGTTCGTTCTAAACTGCAGTATTTGATATCAGTTTAGGGAACAACTTCAAATGCTCTACTCAAACAACTGAAATACTGTAGAATGAAGTTATAAAATGTATTTTCGACTTAGATTATAAGGAGCCAAATATTAATTTATACAAACGAAAAAATGTATTAGACATATCAATGATATACAAACTCAAACTTTGCACCTCTGTTCCCCTGGCAAAAAACAAATTGAAACACTCAAATTTGATTTTCAAAATATTAATCAACATAATTAATCAACGAGGTATTCCAAAAATCTAAGGGTTAATAATTTTAGATCAAATATTGGTAATTATTCGATTTATGGGGTGGTTTTAAATTATATAATAATTGTCCAAATTCTTGAAGAAATTTCAGCAAAATAAAATTAGAGAAACAACTAAGAAAATGTATTGTGTTATGAAATGTTATATTATTACGATATTTTATACAATTCATACATTTTCATTAAAGCCAATCAGTTACACATTCTTTTGTTCCTTTTTGTAGAGAATATTATTAAAACGAAAATTTTCGAAAAATATTCATATTGAAATTTTATATATATTTTTTCTTGTTTAGATACACCTCCAGAAGTTTTTGCCTGTTTAAAAAAGTTTGGTCATAGCTCGTTCCGACCTGGTCAGGAACAAGCCATAATGAGAATCCTTTCTGGAAAATCGACTCTAGTCACTCTTAGTACAGGTTCAGGAAAAAGCTTGTGTTACCAGTTGCCGGCATATATGTATTCACAAAGAGAACCTTGCATTTCCTTGATAATTTCACCTTTAGTTTCATTGATGGATGATCAAATAACAGGTATTGCAAAATTCATGAAAGCTGCTTGTCTGCATTCGAATCAGACAAAGCCACAAAGACAGAAGATTCTTGAGGCTATATCTTTGGGAGAGTTAAGTGTGCTGTTGGTCTCACCTGAGGCAGTGGTTGCAGGTGAAAAACAAACAGGTAAATAATTTATCGAGTTCAGTTTTGTTGTTATAGAGTGGATGTGTTCTGTATAGCTTAGTGTTTCATTAATGTTTTTAACCTCATTTAGACATAATTAATTTTTAGAAATCATTCTCTAGTATTTGCTAATAGTTGATTAGTGTTTAAAATTGAATTATTGATATCTATATCATTTGATATAAGATTGGTATCATCAGCATAGCATATTTAATGATTGATTATATCAATTTCCAGATCATTAATGTATATAATAAAATATAATGAACTAATACTTTCATTTTGATCATAGGAAAATCATTAGAATGGTTCAAATTATAATTTGAAGAAAGGAGACAAAGAATATTAATGTATAAAAATGGTACAAAACTGCATCTGCAGAGTTTTTCAGATTATGATTTGAACCATTCTAATGGTTTTCCTCCGATTTCACGTTTTTCCATATTTTCCAATAATGTATCATGATTCAAGTAGTTCTATGCTTCATATAAATCTAGGCAAATATCTAGTGTTATTTTTCTCATTTCCAAGTAATTTTAGAATATTTGCAATAAATTTGAACCTCAAAGTGGAAAAACTGTTCTGAAACTCAGTTTGAACGAATGCAAAAGTGTATCAAACTCAAAAGTTAATATTTTGAAAAACAATAAAACAGTAAATGGAAAAAAATTCTTACTTCCGTAATAACTCAAGGTGAGGTGACCCTCATATTTTTGATAAGTTGGCTATTATTCACAAAAACAACAAGTCAATATTGAATATGAAGACTAGATTAAGTTTATTCATTTTTTTTAGGGTTTGGATCTTTCTTGCGAAAACTTCCTCCTATAGCATTTGCATGTATTGACGAAGCTCACTGTGTTTCGCAGTGGTCGCACAATTTCCGCCCTAGCTACCTCATGATATGTAGAGTTCTGAGAGAAAGTCTAGGAGTAAAAAGTATTCTTGGTTTAACAGCTACTGCAACAAAAGCCACTCGTGACAGTATCATAAAACATTTTGAAGTACCCGACGGCGAGGCGGGTGTCATAACAGATACTCCTTTACCGGACAATCTTATACTGACTGTTTCTAAGGATGCTGCCCGTGAAAACGCTCTGCTAGGGCTTCTGATGTCTGATAGATTCGCGTCTTGTAAAAGTGTGATAGTATATTGTACTACAAGAAACGAGTGTGAAAGAATCGCCACATTTTTAAGAACTAGTTTGAAAAGCGAGCAGCCGGTTCAAGAAGGGAATAAAAAACGCAAGCGACTCAGTCTTGCGGCGGAGCCGTATCATGCTGGTCTTGCAGCGAGTCGTAGAAAGGCTATTCAGAATGCATTTATGACTGGGGAGCTCAGAATAGTAGTGGCAACAGTAGCATTTGGGATGGGTATTAATAAGTCTGATATAAGAGCTGTGATACATTATAATATGCCTAGTAGCTTCGAGAGCTATGTTCAAGAAGTTGGTAGAGCTGGAAGGGATGGTCTGGATGCACATTGCCATGTATTTTTGGATTCGCAGGTAAGTTGTAAATGAATTATCTTTTTTTTACTCTCACAAAAGCATATAATTCATTTCACGTTTTTAAATGTAACAATGCCATTAAGTTTGGAAATGAAAACTGACATTGTAATGATACTGAGTAAAATAAAAGAATTAAATAAACGTTACCTTGAAAACCTGTGCCAAGTGCTTGGCATAGTCCTAAGAAGTAGCAGAGGTTTCTCAATTTAAGCCTTGGTGTACTCACCTTTATTAGTATCACAACTAGAATATACTTCCATTATTGTGTTAAATATAGAAAGTACAGAACAAATGTCGGAGATATTGTGCATTCCAATTAGTGAACATTCTTAAAAATAAAAAAATTCGGATAATTGAGTACCGAAATAATGAATGTTTGTTCCAAAATATCTATTGTTTATATCTGAAACCGTGCCCAGGATTCAAAAATATGATCTCTTTTCTGCATTTTAGTTTTATCCCCTTAGACTTTGCGACATCGATGACTAAAATTTGCAGTATTTTATTCATGGACGTCGTCAAGTCTATAAGCCTTTTAACATTTTCACAATCTGTCATAAGTTCAATGTCTAAATCAACGTCAGCAATAGGCAGATCGCGGTCTGTTTGAAGACCGCGAAAGGTCGAACCTCGGACCGCCAAATATTGTAATGTGTTGTATACCAAGTATTTATACTTGGTATACAACACGTAGATAAGATATGCTATACCTTTATTAATTGAAATAATATTTTCAAGCTGAAGATATTTTGAAACATTTAATTGCGCTCAACACAGAGTTACAAGGAAATGGAAAATGTGATCTGATACAAAGTGTGTCTACTTTTTGTCGCAAGCTGGATATCTTTGAAAAAGATATTGCATGACAAGAATTTACTCATTTTCGGACATTTCTTGAATATAAAAAGAACTCTGAAGAAAACATTGTAGTGTTTGTAATATTTCTGATGTCAATTTCCTTTCATACGCAGATGACTTGATACCCTGTCACAATATAACATGTTCTAATGATTGCGAACGTTTCGCCCTAAATTTAAATCGCGTTGCTACATGCTGTCAGAAGAATAATCTATCTCTCAACATATCCAAATGTAATGTAATGCCTTACTCAGTGAAAACGAACTTGAATTTACACAACTACGTCAAAAACAATCAAGTTCTGGAGCGTCCTGACACGCTCACTGATCTAGGTGTTACCTTTGATTCATCCCTCTCTTTCAATAAACATATTGACACTACTCTAACAGCTTATCGCATGTATGGAATCTTAGTTAGAAATACAAAAGACTTCGAAAAAGCTTCAACATTGAAATTACTTCATTTCACCTTTGTTCAATCTAGGCTGGAATATGCATCTGTCATGTGGAGTCCCTACTATCAGGTTCATATAAATCAACTAGAAACCCTACAGAGGTGCTTCCTAAAATATATGTCTTTTAAACTTGAAGGCACGTTTCCTACTGTAGGAATACCCTATTATGAATTGCTTGTAACTCACAATTTTTGTAGTCTCGAGGTAAGGCGTAAATATTATTCATTTCTTTTTTTTATTCAAGGTCATAAACAATATCATCACCAGCTCTCAACTGCTACATATGTTGAATTTTTGGGTTCCTAGACGGTCATCTAGGAATAGTGTCACATTTTATCTCAACACTCCGCGTACAAATATAATGAAAAAATCTCCAATTTATACAATGTGCGATTCCTCTAATTCTGTTAGTCATGTCCTAGATATATTCAACTGCCAGATTATACAAATCAAAAGACATATCTTAACTAACTGACAGTTCTGTTTTTATTTTTTTTATTAAGATTCACAAATTATATTATGTAAGTACATATTTGTAAATGCCACTGTTACTCCCTATTCTGTAATTGGGTTCATCCTGTAGAATAGTGTATGAAGTAAATAAATGAATAAATTTCTGGCCGATCTTAAGAACGAATTTGCTACAAGATTCCAAGACTTTGCAGAGATGGACAAGCTATCTCCGTTTCTTAAATCGCCATTTGAAGTTGATGTAGCGGTAGAATGGACAGATGTGTCTGCCAAGTTGTTTAATCTGTCAAAGCCATCACTTCGAATAGAGATAATCAGTTTGCAAGAAGAGGTGCTTTGCAAATGTATAAAACGGCATCCACTGAAGAATTTTGTCCCAGAAAAATATGAAAATTGCAAGTAACCCCGTGTTTGGCTCGACATGCATATGTGAAACATCTTTCTCAAAGATGAATTTTCTGAAAAACAAATATTGTTTGGGATTGACGGACGCCCACCTAGAAGATACACTTCGAATTTGCAGTTTCTCTCGAGAACGAAAATATAAAAAACTGGCTCAAGAACGTCGGTGTAGTTTCTCACATTATTTTTAGACTTCTTTTCAAAAATTACACCTCACGATTTGATCTCCACAAACTTTCTTTGAAAAAATATAATCACAACATGTTTCACTAGCAGAGTAGCTTTCTCAAGTGTATGAAATTGAAATTACTATGGATCTTCATCAAGTAACGGCCGAATCAATCAGAAAATTATTTTTAGACCTTGTGTTTTGTAATTCAGAATTTGATTTGAAATTAAAATAATACCTAGCTAACACTTAATTATCATCAGTATCCGAACCTCACCTAAAACTACTTGCTGAATCCTGGTCTAAAGTGTCACTGTCTTGGTCTTCATTGAATTATTTGTGTCCCATGTACCTACTGATCATAACTCTCTGATTAATGGTATAATTACAAGTATTTTATTTCGATCAGAGTATCTAGTAACAACTTTAAAATATCATTCATTTAAATTTGGTGCTCTGGTTATTCAAGTAGTGATTATTTGATTATTTAAATTTCTACTCAATATTTTCCCAATCAAATATAGTAACAAAATTATCTTCCATGATAAGTTACTAAAAATAAAACGTTCCATCATAATTGGTTATAATAAGAAAGGCATTTTGACATCTACTACACATTCAAAAAGTGTCACATTATATGTCAAAACTGGAAAAAAAGAAGCCCTGATATATTTGCATCAGATAGTAACTTCACTTGTGAATAACTAAGAAAATACCTTGAAACCCACACATTTCAGATATATACAGATTTTATTTCTACACCCACATCTCTTTGGAAAAAATCTATCAGATGCCTGACAGGGCATACTATGTAAAATATTTTAACGAAAACTCTCGATCTATGGAACTCTTGATTCTTCATAAAATAAAGAGATCCAAGGAACTTCAGCATTCCATTCACAGAGGTGATAAGCATACACCAATATTTACATTCTTGTTCCATCTATCAATATATGTACAACGTTGGGTCAATGTCATTCTTCCTGTTGAGATTTTGACACCATGGTATTTCTGTCCATCTTGTATATATGACAATTTTTTATTCTGACCACTTATTCAAAATAATTTGTTGAAATAGCTCTAGGAATCTAAAAAAATTGGCATTATCATTAGTCAGTATTTCAATTAATAGACTTTAAGTTCACAAAAATTTTCTAATTTCAATGACAACTGAAGTTTTATGAAAACACGGTAATTTTTACAGAGAAGAGATGAAAATGAACTAAGAAGGCATATATATTCCAACTCCATTGACCGTTATGTGATAAGAAAGTTATTGCAAAAAGTCTTCGTTCCATGTTCTTGTACTGGCCAGTGTCCCAAACACGAAGTGGCTTTCTCCATCAAGGCAACAGAGGAAGCTCTGGATGTCCCAGAAGAAAATATCTCAACATTGCTGTGTTACCTACAACTGCACGATAATAAATACATCGAAGTGGCTAGTCCTGCTTATACAACCTGCAAAATAATGTCCTGTGGTGGGTCAATGCAAATTAGAAAAGCAGCTAAGGAATGTCCTCCTTTAGCGATGGCACTCGCTTTATACAAACCCGATGATGGGAAAGACCAGAATGTGTTAGAGTTTCCTGTTGTGGACGTGGCAGCTGCGATGGGTTGGGAAAGCGGGATTTGTAAATATAAGCTGAAAAACTTGGAATGGATAACAGGTTTGTGTTTTTTAATTCCTTTGTTCCAAAGAATTGTCAAAATCTTTCACTTCACTTTTGTTCTCTGAATTACTGTTTTGTTTTAAAAAATGTTTGGTTCAAATAAACTTTTTAAAAATATATTTCTGTCAAACAGTGCATCACAAGTTTATTAGCAATGTTCTGCAGGTTTTTATAACTGGTATGAAAACCTGCAGACAACTACTAAAGAACCCGAAAACATTGGACAATCTGTAAATCTTCTCATTTTGAAGTTGGTAATTTGGCTTTATTCTGCAAATTTAGAGTGTCAGAATAAAAATATAGTAAAGAAATGTATGCAGCAGGCCCTGGATATTATAACAGTATCGATCAAGGAAATTGGGCCGGAACTTGAGCCCAACAAAATTGATCAAAAGGATCTAGACAAAGGGCACCGCTAAAACTTCCAAGTGAAGAGATACAGTTGTTGGGAGAGGTCAAATATCTGGGAGTTATACCAGATCCCAGGCTGACTTGGAACCAATATCTATAAAGATTAAAAAAAAAAGCAGAGCCAAACGCACTTACAAGGTATGAAGATTGAAACTGGACAAAGCCATAATGTATTGGTAAATGTCCAATCAACAAACTGAGCATTGTGCAAAGGCTTACTTGTTTGGGAACAACGAGAGCAATGAAAACCACTCCAACTCCTGCATTGGAGATATCTTGAATCTCTTTCATTCACATCTTTTTACGATAGGGAAGGCGAGAATGGATCAGTTCTGACAGGAAAATTCATTGAGTTACACTGGATCAGGCAAAAGAAAAAATGTGGTATATATGGAGCAAAGAATATAAAACATGCTTTCAGATCACGTCACTGAAATACATGTTTGTTACAAACGTCGCGATTGAAGTCGTAAATCGTGAAGGGTGGAAATGGATCAATCATCCCAAGAACATGCTTAGCAAAATTACTTGGTTCACAGACAAGTCACTGTAGTAGCTACCTGATCCGTCAATACACATCAGTTTTCCAGACAATGCCCAAGGAATATTAATTTGAGACCTCAACATTATGAGCGGATCGATATTGTGATAGACAGCCAGGCTGTACTTAGTCTGGAAATGCCGTGAAGATACAGAAATTTTTGGTACAGGAGCAGATCAGGAAATGAGTCGAGTAGAAACATAAAGAGTACTGGGATAACGTGCCAGGGAATTGCTAAGGAAAAACCTGCATGAAGGGAGTGTCCAAGAAGTGAAAGAAAGAACTGCTTCAACAAAGCAGAGACGAACAAGTTCAGAACAATTATAGGGTGTTATGAAAACGAATGGGGGAAATGCAATAAACTGATGAGGCTACAGTGTTTTCGTGAGATTTGGAAGTGGACAAGTTAGAAGGCTCCCAAGCACTGAAAAAAAAAATCAGAATCCTGCCTTTGAAATATTGGGTGAATCAGATATAGTTAGGTTTACTTAGAGTGGTTTTTCATTCTGATAATTATAATTATTTACACTCATAATTACAAAGTTTAAAGTCGGAACTCAGAGATCATAAATTTTCAAATTGAAAGTCGGAATTCACAGTTTATCGGAATTATTGATTAAATTAAATGTTTGAGCATTGTGATCCTTTTAAAATACCGTGTCAGCTTGATCACATTTGAATATTCTTTGTTTTTTTTTCAGTCAATAATCAGCAGAAAAGGTCAACAATCAGCGTCCAGTTCTCGGATTTAGGTTTTCGACTTTTTGCACCAGGAAATCTTTCTGAAAATCAGTTAGACGAAGCGTTAGATAGTTTGTATCAAAGGGTAGTTGATCAAGAACACAAAGCTCTTCTACAACTCAATGCCATTCACGAAACGTTGTGCAAAGTTGCCAAGTCTTCCTATAAAGACTGTTTGTCTGAATACGGTGATGACCAAATCAAGCTCAAAGTCAGGGAATATTTTAATTCACCTGATCCACTGAAATTCGTTTCCGAAGAAAAACCTAGAAAGTTCAATGAGGAACAACTCGTGGCTGATATCCATGCACTCATATGTATGTACAAAGATAATTCTTTCAATGGAAGGGCCATTGCTCGCATCTTTCAAGGTATTCAAAGTCCTAATTATCCAGCTGTGATTTGGTATAGATGTAAATTTTGGAGGAGTCATGTTGATGTGGACTTTCATGTGATAGTTAAAATTGCTACAAGAGAAATCATCAAGATGAGGTGAAGAGTTTTTAAATGTTTTTAATTTTATTCATGTAAAAGTTATTTTATTTAATGTAATTTTAATAAATTTTATTTGACCCATATTTTCCTTCATTTTTATTACTTACCTTTTGCCTTTTTTCTGTTAGATTGTTGAAAAAAATATAGTCATCAGAAATGAAGAACCCTATTAGTGTAATGAAAAAAATATTTTTTCATGAATAAGGCTATCTAGCAAATTTGTGCAAGAGTTGCTTTGAATATCTCGAAACATTCAAAATATCTGAATCACGGAGATCAACAAAAACGAGAAGATAGATATATTGACTCAGGTTATTTTCTCAGCTTCAGCTCGATGGTGTAATATTTGTCATATGAACCTCTGTCATAGAACCCCTGTATAATTACAGTTATGTCAGATGTCAAATATAATAAGTATGTAGTTGTGTTGAGAAAAAGCAGTTAATTAATTGAAAACCCATGTTTCCTTATTAAACAAGTATAGAACAATATTCAATATGTCCAGTTATTATACTTTGGACATATTTTTCTATGAAATTGTTTTAAAAGTACACTATCCTTTCTAAGTTCGATTGATCATTGTATTCACATTATTATATTATGTTGTAATTAACGAACATTGGATTTTTTCATTTTGTTTTATTAAGAGTCTTATCAACTAACATTTATTACTTTAACTTGAAAAAAGAGATGACATCGCTAACTTCTCTGGGAACAACTACCGTTGACACACTATTAACTATCAGAGAATAACAATTTAATAACATAGATGCCCTAAAACTAAGTTAAATCTAACATCATTGGCACTTCAAATCGAAAACACTTATAACAAGCAGAGATTCAAAATATAAAATAGGTCAAGTTGTGTTGAATAAATTAAAACATAATAAAAATATCTACACATAAGTAGTAGAGGAACAGTGAAGTTTGTTTATAAGAAGGTTATGATTTCTGAATGGGTTTCAGAATAGAGTGAACTCCTCTGTGCTATAGTTATAGTTTAGTAAAATATATACAGGGTGTTCAATAAACATGCGGCAAAAAATTAAGGGACTATTCTAAGGATATTTTATCTTTGATGATGTTTGAAGGGCACTTTGTTTCGAAGATACGGGGTGAAAAAGAACTTCGACAATAACAATTTTGGTAATTTTTAAATTATTAACGTAGCCGAAATAAAAGTATAGCGTACTACACTGGACCTACCAAGTAATAAAAAATCTAACAATTCCATTGATACCTATAACAACATTCCGATTACTACAAACTGCTGTAGACATTCAATTTGAATAGTATGTCTCGTAAGTGATCATTAGTATTTGTCGAATAGGTTGAAACTGATTGACTTTTTCAATTTGACGTGCATTTTCTGTTTAATATTTAAAGTCTTGTTAGTGAAGTCCTCTATCATGAATGGCTATAGTAACACAGAGATGGCTGACATGTATTTCATTTATGGACTTGCTGATGGCAATTTATTTGAAGCTAGGCAGTTGTACAGTGAACGATTTCCTAATCATAATGTGTCCAATAGAAAAACCTTCCAAGTCTACATAAACGACTTCGTGAAACAGGAACGTTGAAGCGAAATGGAGGACCAGGAAGGCCAATATCAGTAAGAACGATGGATCTGGCTATGATAGAAGATCCAGGTGCTTCTACTAGAAAAATTGCAACTATTTTAAATTAAAGTAACAGGATGATTTGAAACATTCTTAGAGACTATTTGTTGTACCCATACCACATACGAGTTCAGGCAGTTATTCCTGCAGATTTTCTTCCACATATTTCATTCTCTCAATCCCTCAATCAAATTCCGCAGCTACTGACGTTTATTATTTTTTCCGATGAAGTTAGTTTCGCAAGAAATGCCCTAAGGAATTTCCACAATAACTATGTTTGGGCTGAAGAAAATCCACATGAGGTGCTTGAAGATCGCTTTCAACATCAGTTCTCGTTAAACGTTTGGGTGGGTGACTTCATAATTGGACCGGTATTTCTGCCAGGAAGACTTACCGGCGAGGTATACAGCAACTTTTTGGAACAAACGCTACGCCAGTTTCTGGAGGATGTACCATTGGTTACAAGAAATGCAATGTGGTTTATGCACGATGGTGCACCAGCGCATTTCAGCATATTGGCTCGAGAGTTTTTAACAGTAACATACGGAGATCACTGGATTGGCCGAGGTGGACCTCACTTATGGCCTGCTCGATCACTGGACGTAAACCCCCTGGAGTAGTTCCTATGGGGTCACCTAAAGTCATTAATTTATACTACACCAGTGAAAGATTTGAGAAATCGGATAATTGCTGGGTGTAATGCAATCAGAAACGTTCCTGGTGTTTTTGAAAGAGTTCGGGAGTCGATGAGGAGAAGATTGGATTCTTGTATCCGAGCGGGGGTAGTCATTTTCAACAGTTCTTGTAGATTAAGAAACATTCCATGTAATTTTTGGTTATAAATTATCACTGTCGAATTTCTTTTTCGCTCCATATCTTCGAAACATAGCGCCCTATCAAAAATCATCCAAGGACAAAATATCCTTAGAAACGTCGAAAGAATGGTCCTTTAAATTTTTTCCGCATATTTGATAAACACCGTGTAGATGCTTCCGTGTTTGTTGCAAATTTCAATGCCAGTTTGATGAACCAGATTAACGATAAACTTCAGTGCATATGGTGAGCTTAAAATTAGTGTTTGAATTTATCTTGCTCTAATTTTTCTTTTGTGCTACGGTTTACCTTTCCTAATAGAAATTTTTTCACACCTCTATGAAACTGTTCAATACTATGCAGTGTTCTAATAAGTAGAAGACGATGGTTAAACACATTTTACCATTGTGGAATACTTATTGTTTTTTGCTATTGAGAGAATAGAAATTGATACTGATTCAATGTCTTTTCTGTGCTTCTTCTGCAAGAACCCAACCGTTTGAAAAAAAGACATGGAATTGGAATTATTTTCCTCAAAGCTCTTTCGTGGAGAATAAAAACAGAAATAACTAGGTTTTGATAGCTCCCGCCACAGAAACATACACCATAACAATGTTGTGATTCACACAGGGCAGAGTAAGCTAATAGATATATTCAAAATAATTTAGTAGGTTTTACAGTTTAGCAACCTGTAGATATCTTTTTGAATTTATAGAATCCCAAAATTTAATTTAGTACCTACCTAGAGTTCTCAAAATAATTTTGTTAGATCTACACCAATAACAAATTTACATAGAAGTTTACAAGAATCTGAAATTAACCTTTAATAAAAACATCAATCTCCATATTCATGCATTCAAAGCAAATTTCTAAAATATGCTTTTTAATTATGTGACCACCCTTCTTATATAATTCTTTAATTTTTCCTTTTTCATATCCTGCAACCTAGTTATTTTAACGGTAGAATTTTCTTCCTTGCATCTCCCACAAAATTCTTTCAGAATGGGATGCAAAGGACTTTGGAAGTATATATTCTTGTTTTTCAATTTTTTGTTGTATTTGTGTGACCAAGAATGCAGAAAAATTTCAATAACTAATGCTACTAATGCCAGAATTGGGTGGAATAAAATCATTGTCGGTAGAAGATATATGGCTGCTGTAATGAGTTGGGACTCTTGAGGATCAGCTTTCAGAAGCCTGATGGTTTTTTTTCTTCTGCTGCTTTTTTTTTCACCCATGTAATACTCTATTGGTACTTTAAAATGTTTGACTGGAAGTCCTATATATTCCCCTGTTTCGGCATCAAATGAGGAATATGTCAATACTTCCCCGGTTTCAAAGTCTAAAAAATATTCCCCTGTCTCATCATCCATTTTGGTTTCATCTGAAAAAGTAATTTAAATTATTGTTTCGGCTCATTAATTTCAATGGATTTGGAAATTTATGTTGCCATCTGAATGTTGGGGTCTAAAATGTATTATCAGTGTGAAATCAGCCACGAGTTCCAGCCATGGATTTGTCGATGCGAAGCGGGAAATCCGATAATCAGCGGCTCCCAAAATACGGACGAAATTAATGGCCAACCATGAATTTACAGAACAACCTGAAATGTATGCGATTAAAAATAAGTATAACAATAATTCCTCCATATCAAAAATTGTCGAGAATATCAAGTCATTAGAAATTGTTGGAATATATACATATAAGTTTAAAGAAATATGTCAAAATATTTTGTCGGGCAGAAAATCAACCCCCACTCCGAATTAAATAAGATTCAAAGAAAAAACCATAACTCTTTCGATTATTCTTCGGAAGGGAATTTTTTTCTTGAAATGTATTCATTTCAGCGTGAATTGAAAAAAAAAAATTACCAAATACAAGGCCTGCTGAATATTAGGGATATAATGTGGTGTGACTTATTCATTTGGTCTTGGGCAGGTGCATTTTTGATTTAGAGTAGAAACGGATAACCAATTTTGGGAAGAAAAAATGTCGAAATTTTTATGTAACTTTTATTTATCTTTCATTTTACTAGAAATAGTTGACCCTCAGTTTGATGATGGAAGAAAAATAAATTCTATAAGTGTCATAAACTATAATAAATCAAATAATAAACAATACTTACACTTTTTTCACAATGGTCTAGTTCAAAATGTTAAATATTACGATACTTGCATTGAATACAGGAATTATGTTGTTGCCAAATACAAAAATGTTTTTTCTATAGAACTGAGATTTAAGGATTTTAAAATATTATATGAAACACAGTGGCTATCAGACTTTGGTATGAATTATTGTTTATCATCTTTGGCAAAATTACATCATGATGAATCTTGCATATTCTTTTAACGTCAAATCAAGTTTACGCCATAATGCATTGCGGGAACGATTTAGAATCGACTTTTTTTGATGACCTACCTGAAATTACAAATAAATCAGAAATTTTTCTACCCATCATAATTGGAACAGTTTTGAATCGCCACTATTGGGTCTTAGCAATAGCCGATATGCAAAAAAAGCAATTTATATACATCGATCCAAGATACAATAATTTCAAAAGACGCTGAAAATTATAAATAAAAATGTCTGATATTTCTACAAAAATATAAAATCACCAAGAAAGATGAATATATAGAAGATGAATTGAAGGGGTTATATTTTTAGGAGTGATTGATTTTTGGGAAAGAAAGTTTTTGGCTTTCTACTGCTCCATCTTGATACAAAAAAAAGGAAGAGGGAATCTTCCAAAGAAAGGAAGGAAATAATCAATTTTAAAATAAGTAACTCTATACATGGATGTGTAGATCATGCAAAGAAGTAACTTTCAGACACAAACTGAAAGAAAGTCATCCTGAAACAGCTCTTTCATATAAACATTGAATTACATGAAAGAAAAAAATTCTTTCGAAACAAATACTTCTATATGAACACTGAATTATACAGAAGAAACTTTTCTCTACTCAGTTTTTATTTCAAACATTCGTTGTGGAATGTATTGATGTATTGAATCTATCGGAGCCTCTGGAGACACTCTACATTTTGTTTTATGAGAGAGAGGACATTGGCAGATCAAGATCTTCAGACCATGACGGAAGAAATGGCAAATATTTCTTCAAAATTAAATTCAGAAATTCAGTGTTATAATACCAGTTCGCTTTCCCTATTTCACAATATGTCTGGGAGGTAGTTTTATATAATGGACTATTTAAATACAGAACTTCTAATTCCTTATCATATTGCCATTCAAATAATGAAGATTCAAATTTAATACTTTCAGTTTCTGGTGACTCTTGCTCTGAAAATAATTTCAATAAACTGAATAGGGCTTTTCTCATGTGGCGATTTTGATTTTTTGAAAAAATAATTTTAACCAAATTCATGAACCAAACTTGTGAACGACTTATTCTAAGTCGCTGAAGTTGATACATGCTGCCATAAATTCTCTCAAATTTCTGAGTCTTCAGTGGCCCCACTTCTTCACAGAAGATTTCCTGCATATGCAGTTGGCAATAAAACTGAAAGAATATACTTTCAATTTTGGAACAGGCACACTTGCAGACCGGTTTCGGGCTTGTAAGGTTGTTAACTAGTTGTTAACTAATAACAGATCCAATTCGGGGTGGGGGTTGATTTTCTGTCCGACAAAATATTTTGACATAAGGGCCTTTTCAAGTACGCTGAAATGAATACATTTCAAGAAAAAAATTCCCTTCCATAGAATAATCGAAAGAGTTATGAATTTTTCTTTGAAAATTATTCAATTCGGGGTGGAGGTTGATTTTCTGCCCGACAAAATAATTTGACATTGGGGTCTTTTCGAGTACGCTGAAATGAATACATTTCGAGAAAAAAATTCCCTTCTGAAGAATAATCGATGCATAAGGGTCTTATTCTGTAAGCTGTAATGAATGCATTTCAAGAAAAAAAAATTTTCATCCACGAAATATTTGAATAAGTTATGGATTTGATGAATCATTGATTTTCTTGAAATTTATATGTATATATTCCAACAATTTCTAATGATTTGATATTTCTGACAATTTTTGATATGAAGGATTCATAGTTATACTTGTTTTTGATCTCATAAATTTCAGGTTGTTCAGTAAATTCAGCGTTGGCCACAAATTTGGTTCGTATTTTGGGAGCCGCTGATTATCGGATCTCTCGCTTCGCATTGACAAATCCATGGCTAGAACTCGTGACTGCTTTCACACTGATAAATGTATTAGTGTTCTAATTCTTTACGAGAAAACTTTAATAAATTGATTTTTGAAAAAAGAATGTCTTTTATGGACCCGAGAGGGCTGTACCAATTCTACGTAAAGAAAAATGATACATCCATATGAAATCATCTGATCCACGGTTGTACTTCCCACACAAGATAGTTGTGGACTTTTGAGTTTGGAGTGTCTTCATGACAGAATGGAGCCTGCAAAATCATCAGGAGTTTAAATCCCCTTCTCTGCAGGGTCCGCGATCATGAGAGCAGACATTCGAGCATTTCTCTTTAGGTTAAAATGAGGCAAATATGCAAAATGAGTAAATACGACAAGTTACTGATGAATAGAACTTTTTTCTTTAAAAAAAATACTCTGACTTAATGCAATAACTTATTGAGGTAAACTGAAAAGTTTGATATTTCTACACCAGTATAAAGTTCTCCATTACAGTTTTTAATTTTTTTCAGATTGTGGAAGGTAAAAAACCCCAAAAAGGTCGATAAAAACTATATTTCGTCGTCTGGACTGCAAAACCTCGTATCTGCGTTTTAAATAATTTTACAGGAGAGCAATAAATTTGATTTTTTTTCGAACTGAAATTCAAATACCTACAGATTTTGCTTTAAATGAAACAAAATACACTTACTTTGGCTTTTATAATAAGTTTTATTGAAACGCAAATATCAAAACAATTTTTTTCCGAAATAACAAAACTTACGAGGTTTCGAACAAAAACTCTTAAACTGTTTAACGACATACGTGTTCTGGTACAAGCAAACTAAATGGTTATTATTAAGAAAAAAAAGGTGATTCCGTGAACCTGTAAACAAAAAACAAATTTCTTTGGATAAATATAGGTAAACATAATCGTAAATGTAAATTAATAACACTATTAGTGTGGAAGATCGTCATAAAATTTCCAAAACTGTTTATCTAGCAGCATTTTTAAAGATTGTAAGTGATTGTACTTTTCGGTCTTAATTTTTGGTCGAGTTTTATAAAGCTGAGTAACTGTATAATTTCCACTCCTTGGTCTTTTAGGAAACTCTGTCCAGATATCATTATAATTGATTTTGTATTTTATTTCACCGGCAGGAAGGTACATTAGACCATGAAGTTCCGNTTGAATCTGCTTTCTTTCTCTTTGCTGGGACTGTATCTACAAGAGAGCTAATATAAGTCCTTTTCATATCCCACGTTAAATCTTCCCAGAACTTTTTAAACATTTCTTCCCTTTCTCTTTCTGTGAATATCCCACATTTCAGTACCTTTGATTTTTGACACTTTTGTGAAGTACAAGTTTGTCCAATACTTCGTGGAGCAACTGCATTTATTAGTTTATATTTACCATCTGTGTCCTTCTTAAGTCCTTTGTATGACTTTCCACGCATTCGCAAATATTTGTTTTTTGCTCTTTCTTCTCTGGTAACCAGTTTCCCTTTTTTCTTTAAGGGTTCCTTCGTTTCTTCTTGAGTTCTATCTTCATTTTCTAATTCATCGTCTTCTATATCACTATCTGAGTTATTTTTGTTATATTTTCGTTTATTTGTGTTATTTTCGTTATCCTGCTTTTGGGATCCCGCTGCGTTATCCTGCAGTTCTTCTTGGATGGTGTCGTTTTCATCTTCTAGTTGAATACAGTCAGGATCATTTTTTTGGTCACTCTCGCCATTGTCACTGTTTTGGTCGCTGTCGTTGTTGTCACTCTCTACATCCCGAAGGGGAATATTTTCGGGGTGACATGTATTTCCATTATCTTCATTGTTATCTAGGTTTTCAATTCCGTCTTCGTTGTTTGCATTCTTGTCTTGATTAACACAAAACACCGACAAACACCTGTCACTATAAGTTACCATGTGGAACTGCGTCAAATACGAGGTTATGTTCGCTATATTCAAATACGCGGTTAAGAACCGAGTATATTTGGCGTTATAGGAATATCGAAGCGCTTCGAGATTTTGCACACATACGCGTTTCACCCTTGGAATCCCAAAAAAATGCAGATACGAGGTTTTGCAGTCCGAACGACGATTTCCTCCACAAAAAAATGATTTTCAAATTATGAAAGACCTGTTTCTTGAATAGGCTAGGAATCGACTCAGAATAAGTAACTGCAGTCTGATAAACTGAACACTGTTTAGAGAATGCCTGAACAATATAATGGAGACGTTAGCTGCAGACAGTGCAACAAATAAACATAAATTGCTCCTCATAATGCATACACATGTGAGGCAAGCAATTTACAGACAATCAAAACTCAGTCCAGTCTTGAACTTCTTGGGAATTTTTACCTATCACAATCCCAAGGTGGTCTCGATCCTTCTGGTCGGTAGCTAAAGCTGTTAATCAAAACTTTACGAAATCCACAATTCGAACACTAACCCAAGCGGATGGTTCAATTGCAACAACAACTACAGAAAAAGCTTAATCTATTGGCTGAACAATTTGCGTTCCACTCCACAGTCGAATTAATGGGAAAGGCACCACCCACTACTCCCACACTAGAATCCACAATGCCGGAAATTACTTTTCGACGTCTAGTCAGGCGAATTTTTAAACAGCTCAATATCAACAAGGCATCTGGTCCTGATAAAGTGCCCGTCATCGTACTTGAAAGTGCGCAAATGAACTCGCACCAGTATTTTGCAGACTTTTCAACTTGTCTTACAAGAAAGGAGTTATTCAAGCATACCTTGAAGCTGCTGGATTCCATCCAGAAAAAAGCCATTCGCCTGTCTGGAACATCGAAGCAAGGTTGGAGATTCGTCTCTCTTCTATAGATACTTTCACGGGAAGTGTTCAAGTGACTTAGAACATTTGATTCCACCAAGAGCGGTACATATCAGAAATACGCGACGGACTGTGGCTGCTCATCGTTTTTAAGTTCAACTCAGTACGTCGAACTCCATTGTTTAAGAACTCTTTCCTTTGGAGAACTGCGTTTATGTGGAATAAACTTCCTGAGAACGTTTTTCCAAATGGATTTGACCTCCAGCGATTCAAATCCAATGTGAATCACTACTTTCGTACAGGCACCGCTCTTAGAGCGCCTTAACGATTTTTCTGTAGTGCTCGTGTTTTATCCTTAAAAAAAAGGAAAAATAAAAATTATAATGGATAACTATATATGGGTGTAGAAGGGCAAACCTCTAGTACATCCTGATAAGTTACTATGTATATTTAATGAAGAAAAGAGGGAAATGAAACTTTCTATGTTTTTACCACTTTTATTTGTAACTAACGTTACTGCAGTTTCTCTTTTCTTCATTATGATTTCCTACCACGTAGTAATGGATAATCCATCAATTTAATGTAGGTATATTTAATATATTTCTCGCAAAAAAATGTGCTCTTTATTGATGACATATTGCATTTTCCAATAATTTTGTTTATTAAAATAGCGCTTGATGTTTGAAAGCAAAATCTGCCTCCCCCCGTTTTTAGAATTGAAAAATTAACTAGGTTTATCTTATTTACATATGCCCTGACCCAACTTCCAATTCACATCTCGTCACCATTTAGAATTTCTTGACCTACTTTTTATATTTACACATCATTAGATTCCTTGACTTTATCGAAAATTTGAGAATGAGTGAAAAGCACCCCTATAGAAAAATCCGATTTTTTTTATTCTAAAGTCGGAGGAAGTTATTCATTACTGTTTCATCTCTGTGGTCCCAATCCGTAAAATTAGTTTCGATCATTAATAAAAATATCGTGTGAAATGTTTACATACATATAATTATTAGAAACTTACTAGTTTTTTTCCAAATAATTCACCAAACTTGACAATTAGATAAAACGCCTTGAATCAGATGAACTTATACATTATTTCTCAAATTTAAAGCAGACACACACACCAGAAACTTCGATTCTGTCAAGACTGATGCGCACTATAATTACATGCACATATAATTTGGAATAAAAAGGTGTATTGGTTCAAAGGTCATGGGGAACTTACCATTACAACAAAGGTAGACGAAAAATTTTACTGTTTACAATACGAGTACATCATACACTTTACTATTTGGAGGGAGTCGTTTACTAGAGAGATACGAGTATTTTTTTGCAGGGCATAAAGAGATTAAATCACAGGCTAGATCCAATATAACTTAAAAAACTGTTGGAATAATAAATAAAAAACATTGGGAAATGATATAAAAATTCACAAAATGAGTGTTTGAATCGCGGAAATGAATTTTTAATTTGTTCAATTTAAGTCCATCAGTAAATGTGGGAATTGATTAATCAAATACATGTTATGTGCTTTGCTGAATACACAGAGAAAAATAGTATATATAAATACATAAAACTTTATACCAGTTCATTACTTCAAGTAGGTATTCATGTGAGGGAATTGACCGATACCTGAAGAAAATCCATAATTAACTTATTCATATGAAAACGCTTTTGAGGAATCTATTGTATAGCGAAACATGTGTTGCGATTTTTTTAAGAACAAAACAAGCACTACCGTAAAACGGGGCTACTTGATACACTTTTTCAGATTTCACTTTCTACCTTGTTGAAACAAAGCTACGTTCATCGAAACAAAAATTATTTCAGATTACTTTGGGGTAATGGTTATCAGGAGTAACACTAAAAAAAATGTATAGCCTTTGCCACACTAGAGAAAAAAATTTGAAACACACTTTTTCAAGTAGTCCCTTTGTGGGGTTACTTGATATTTGTTTGAAAATCGCATCTAAAATACAAGTATACTCACAATTTGAGGCTACTTGAAACGCAAATTGTTTTAATAAAACCCGCGGGTAGTAACTTAATGAAAAAATATGGGATTTGTGGCAAAAATAGTTATTTTATTTACGTTGTTAAAAAATACATAGTGTATAAACAACAAATTATTGAAAAATCAATCACTTTCAACAAACTAAGTGAAAACTATTAGGTAAAGTAAAGAAAAACAACTAGGTACAACAATTCTAAATTAAGTCTTAAAATTTTATTGGTCCTCTTCTCAGAACTTCGTATTCTAGAAGCCGTTTCTTCATTTCGTTTTTTTCGACTATGCCATTATCTTCAACCCTTGGAAAAATATAAGCACCTTTAATCTTGTCGCTCATTCTTAAGAAACTACATATGTAAGTGTCGTTTCCTTCGCAGTTTATAATTTTAGCGGCGTATTGTTTATATGTCCCGGTTTGAGTTTTCATTTCGACGTAAATGTAATCACCTGGATTAAAACCTCTCATTTCGGTAGAACTGTCTGCAATAATCGTAGAGTTTTCTATTTCTTCTACGTCAGAAAATGTATCAGGGTCTAAATCCATATCGCTGTCAACTGTAATTTTTTCTTCACTGATGTCGCTTTCAGAAGACGATGATGGTAAATAAGTTGCCTTTCCATTTTGCTTCTTTTTGGTCCCTGGCTAGGACGGTATCGGGACAGCGAGGTCTTCTTTCGTAATACTTTTACCAGCTTCAACCAATAACTTTTTTTTTCTGCCAACAGAAATTGCTGTTTTAAACCTAGATTTTTCGAACACTGTTTTTAGTGAATCAACAAATTCTGTGACTTGCTGCAAATTCTGTTGGTCTGTTTTAGGCAACCTATTTAGGATTTTGTACCTACCTATCCACTGGCCATATACCAGTCGCTTCAAATCCTGACTTGATATTTTGTTCATTAGTGGTTGAAACTTTGGTTAGTGCTTGCTTTAAAAGGCGGGGGAAAACTGCTTTTCTGATGGTTCCCTTGTTATTTGTTTTCCACTCTTGTAGAATCTTCCTCCACGCAGTTTTTATTGGTCGAAAAACACTGACATCCAGTGGCTGTGTGAGTTGAGTACTATTAGGCGGCAGAAGAATAAAGCGAATGTTATTTTTCCCTCATGTTGCAATAACAGCAGACGACAGGTGGCTAGCCAGATTATCGCCAATAAGAACTTTTGGGCCTGGTGGTAGAGTTTTAAAATATGAAAATTGACTTTCCATGTTTCTCGATTGCGATATTCCAAATATGGGTGACATTCGATAGAAGGTCGCCTGTTGATCTTTGTTTCCGAAAGCCAAATTGATGATCGCTCAAGATGTTAAAGCCTTCCAATCCAAATATTCAATGATATGGTGGTTTACGGCTTTCTTCATGATTTTTTATATCACTGATAGCAAAGCGCCTGGTTTATAGTTATTTGGAAGATTAAATCTTCCTCTTGAAGATGATAACTTGGTGATCGAAACACGTGTCGAGGTGTTAAGAATAACGATTTGGTGGTGGGAAAAAATTCCAGTAATATTTAAAGACGATTTTGTTCTGGACATAGTTCATAAGACCTCTGCAGCAGGAAAAGAGAATGACTCAAAGTTATTTACCTGACTAATGTGAAAAGTGATACTATTCTGTATGAGACCTTAGTTGAAGTCATTAGGTGAACTTCGGTCAAGCTATGGTTGTGTAGGTGTTAGGTACAAAATTTTCTAAAACTTATGTTAGGGTTAATCACAATTTTCTCATGGCTAAACTACTAGCATAAGGTATCAACTCTGAATTGTTGAAATAGATAAGGAGTCGTTTAGTGATTAGAATTCAGTTTGTCAAATATGCTGGTTCCATATCATCACAAATTTCTGCTACATCTGGAGTTCCTCAAAGAAGGTATATAGGCCAAATACTTTTCATTCTAGTTTCATTATATTTTTAGGATAGATTAATTTGCTAATGTGGTATTTTATCTTAACAACATAAGGAGCTAAGATAGCAGAGTGTAAGGCTCACAGTAATGTTTCATGAAATGATAGGTATGAGTATAGAAGTGTACGGAAATGAAAAGACACTGTCTTGTCTTTCATTCTTCGAAATAGAATATATAATCATTCACGGACTGCTATTTCACAATAATCTTCAAAAAAAAAGTGGGAATGTTCCACATTGTGTAACAATCCTGTGAATGATATCTAATTCCATTCAATAACGAATATTTGTTTTACAAACTGAATAGGAGTAAGTTTTTTTTTGTATATTTCAATGTTCATACAAAAGTTCGAGAGGGCTTTTTCTTCCAGTGTTTTTCTGAAAGTTACGTCTTTGCACGAACTACACATTTTTGTATATAGTTTATTTTAAAATTAATTGCTGTTTTCTTCATTTGAAAGATTCCCACTTTTTTTGTATAAAGATGGAGAAATAGAAAGGCAGAACCTTTCATTTACAAAAATTAATCTCTCTATACTTTTAATTTTTTGTTTTGTTCTTCAAGTTCTTCAAAACATCTTTGAATGGATCCTCTGCAACAGACAGACATTTCTAGAATTGAGAAGATACCAGACAAAGTTCTGAGAACATGTGCATTTAAGATTAGACCTTTGAACATATCTACTGTACTTTGTTTGATGGTGGTTGACAATGTTTCGTGGTGCATTTTATTAGTTCGGACTTTCATTATCTAATATGATACAAATTGATTTGAAATCCCTGAAAGAATCTATGAAAATTTAAAAGATTAGCTAAAAAATAACAATTATATTAAGCAAAAAAACAGAACTTACAATGAAATAACAATTAAAAATTGAACTATCAACAAGAAATGAAAATTAAAAATTATTAACAAGAAATGAAAATTAAAAGATTCCAAGCCAATTACTTCACGACATTTCGATTGTTAGTATCCACAATCGTCTTCGAGTGAATGCTGGACTAATACCTCCGAGATCTGACTATTTATAGGTCATTCGAGTGCTTTCACCTATTCCCTCTTCCCTCTCTCCGCTTCATCGGTTTTAGCGGGAGCTGACCATTAGGCGGGAGTTGGTTGTGTTCCGCTTTATCAAAGGTTTCCATATGTTGCATATCTCTACGCAAGTTTGGCTAAATGCGTTGTTGGACAACATATATGCGGCTTCTTTGAATTTTCTCCTAAACCACTTGATGTTATGTTGGTGAGTTCAAACATGCTCTGCTATTTCTGATATCTCGGTTTCTCCTCGCTGTGTGTGTTTCTTGTGCTCGGCAATACGAACTTTCCATAGTCTCTTAGTTTCACCGATGTTCTCCGCATTCGCAGGGTATCCGGTAAATGCAATTCTTGGAATCGCAGTCCGCGTTTGGTGGTCTGGTTTTCGCGAGGCTGCTACGGATAGTGTTCCCAGATCTGAAGCAGGTTCTGATGTTATATTTATTGGACCCAATTCTTCTTATCCTTTCCGACAATCCTCTGATGTAGGGCAGTGCAAGTACTGGTTGTGGTGGCTTCTCTTCCTTATGAGGCACATGCTGTCTTCTAGCCAAAGTCTGTTCCATCATCACTTTGGAGTAACCATTCCGTTGAAGGTCATTTTTGATGATGCCTAGTTCCTTCTCGAGGCCACCATCACTTTGGAGTAACCATTCCGTTGAAGGTCATTTTTGATGATGCCTAGTTTCTTCTCGAGGCCTTCCTTTGTATTAGAGCTGGAAAGCATGGTCTACTAGGGTCTTGATGATTCCTCTCTTAGTCGATTGATGATGGTTGGATTCCTAGTTCAGATACTGTCCCGTGTGAGTGGGTTTTTGGTGTACAGATGTTTTCCATTTGGTGTCTTCTCCATTGTGAAAGTGATAGAAGGACTTACGCTGTTGATGTGCTTCAGGAAGGTGTCTAGTTTTTAATTCCCAAGGTTCCATATTATGAAGATGTTGTTAACGTATCTCAACCAGACTCGGGGCTTCTTGTAGATCCCATTGGTAGTCTCTCATCTTGCGTAACGAATTCGTCCTTCAGTTGGAAATAGCAGTTTTGTACACAGTGTCCTAGTAATTCCATGATTACTTTTATCGGTGAGATTGTTCTATCTTTCAGGTCCCCATCTTCAAATAGCTTCCTCTATATGATTTGAAGTGCTTATTCGACAAGAACGTTGGTATAGAGGCTTTCCACGTTGAAACTGATCAGTTGATCCTGCTCTGTGACTTCGATTGCCCCTATTAGTTCGACAAAATGCCTTGAATTCTTCACAAAAGATGATGTTTTTCCTTGTAGTGGTTTTATTATTGATAGTAAAAATCTGGACAAGTTTTGAATAGCTGAATCTCTGGAGCTAATTATCGGTCTGAGCGGAACATCCTTCTTGTAGATTTTGTGAGGGGGCTTACTGTGGTGCGGTGTTAGCGATGATCTTTTTTCCGAAAACTAGACTTGGTGTTTTTTCAAAGTCTGGTACAACTTCCTTTCAATTGATGTTGTAGGGTCCCGTACACGAAGATCGTACGGGATACTAACAATCGAAACATCGTGAAGTAACTTGGCTTGGAATCTTTTAATTTTCATTTCTTGTTAATAGTTTAATTTTTGATTGTTATTTTATTGTAATTTCAGTTTTTTTGCCTAATATAATTGTTGTTTTAAGGCTAATTTTTTAAGTTTTTATAGATTTATTCAGGGATTTCAAATCATTTTATATCATATTAGACAATGGAAGTCCGAACTAATGAAATCTACTGTACTGTAGAAAACAAAACTAGTATGTATCACTATTGACTTATTTGATTGATCCATGTACTCTTTCAACAATCAAGTGAAACATTATCCTACTATAAAGAAATTGCTGATTATTATTAATAAAATCGATATTTACCTTCATCCTCGGAGACAACGCATATAAAACTGAAGATGTCTGCCACAGTAGCTGATAATACTTTTGGTGTTGGATTTTATTGTTCAATTGTTTTTTTCTCGCACTACCTATTTGTACCAATATTGTTTAATTTGAAAGGGATATATTTTTTATACAGAGATTAATTTTTGTAAATGAAAGGTTCTGCCTTTCTATTTCTCCATCTTTATACAAAAAAAGTGGGAATCTTTCAAATGAAGAAAACAGCAATTAATTTTAAAATAAACTATATACAAAAATGTGTAGTTCGTGCAAAGACGTAACTTTCAGAAAAACACTGGAAGAAAAAGCCCTCTCGAACTTTTGTATGAACATTGAAATATACAAAAAAAAACTTACTCCTATTCAGTTTGTAAAACAAATATTCGTTATTGAATGGAATTAGATATCATTCACAGGATTGTTACACAATGTGGAACATTCCCACTTTTTTTTTGAAGATTATTGTGAAATAGCAGTCCGTGAATGATTATATATTCTATTTCGAAGAATGAAAGACAAGACAGTGTCTTTTCATTTCCGTACACTTCTATACTCATACCTATCATTTCATGAAACATTACTGTGAGCCTTACACTCTGCTATCTTAGCTCCTTATGTTGTTAAGATAAAATACCACATTAGCAAATTAATCTATCCTAAAAATATACCTTTCACTTTAAACAAGATTCCTATGGCTGGGATTTAATCAAATAAGAGAATGAATGTTGTTTTCATCGATGACATGGATGGATTCAACCCATTCCGCGGCAAAAAGTCGTAATTATGAACGAATTCAGTGTTTTTTCTTATAATGGTATCTGTATTTGCTACTGAAGAGCCAATAAGGCAAGTGTCTTACAGCAAAACATTGCATGTCTAGCAGTGAGGATTACAGTGTTCCATGTAAAGGAAATTTTACTTCTTTCATGAATTATATTGTGTAGTTATCCTGTGAATAATATCTGATTCGATTCCAAACCAATGTTTGAAATACTAACGGAATAAAGAAAAGTGTTTTCCATATAATTCAGCGTTCATATAAAAGTATTTGTTTCAAAAGTATTTTTCTTTCATGTAATCTAATTTTTATATGAAAATAGCTGTTTCGGGAGGGCTTTTTCTTCAAGTTTGTGTCTGAAAGTTACTTCTTTGTATGATCTACATATTTTTGAAATTGATTGCTTCCTTCCTTTCTTTGGAAGATTCCCACATTTTTTGTATTAAGATGGAAAAGTAGAAGGCCAAAAATTTTCTTTCCCAAAAATTAAAAGCTTATATAAGATAGGTTGTAGAAACCAAACTGACCTTCTTTGCAACTGCACATACAATACCATTTTTCTACATAATTCGTTGGATATACCAGAGTTATTGTCACTTTTTGAGGAGAGAATTACAAAAAAGAACTTTGTAGACAAAATGGCATTTTGACAATTATTGAAACATACATTTGATTGTATATGATGGTTGATAATGTTTCATAAAGCATTTACTTGAAAAATGATTTATTTTAAAATAATACAGAACATACATTACTCAATATCATTTATTCTACCCCACTTCAATTTTGATTTCCTCATTTCCAACTTTAACCATGTTGGAATGTACCCTTCAAAATATTCTGCATTGGGATAAGGTACAGGAGGTGGAGGTTCTTTGAAAGGATGTACATTTTTCATTTTCCTCATCAGAAACTCCTTATTGATTTGTTTAGGATCTCTGTATTTGTCCAGGTACAAATTGAATGGTTTTCTTAAAGGAAACCATTCTTGCTTCCTTATGTGAGGTGGTGGGAAATCATATTCAAATATCGGTTCCTTCATATCTGAAATTGATTACAGTAATAAGTAACGTTATTTAGAAAGCACATTTCATTTTCCAACAAATAGAATATATTAATCATAATGATCATATTAAAACAACCATCAACATTGGATACTCCTTTACACTTGGATATACTTGAAACTGTTTGTTAATGACTGTTTCATGTAATAATCTACATCTCATCAAAAAGTTATTTTTCTGATGGAACATATTGAGGAACAAATACCTGAGAGGTTATCTTTGATTATATGTACTCACCCAAAACATCATGATAGAATTTTTTTAAAGAAGGATCCCAATCTGTTTGAAAGAATGCTAAACCAGCAGGTGTTAAATCATCTTGATTATTCTTGTAGAAGTTGTATGTAGAAAAAGTTCTTTGAGATAAATCCAAACTAAAAAAAAAATGTTACTGGAATGAAAGAATCACAGGAAAGAAAGGTATATTTATTCCTGAAGATGCCAATCACTGGTGAAAGAGAAATGTTGAGAAAATTACTCGAAATAAATGATGGCTAACAAGTATTTCAAATCATTTTTTTTCTGAATTGCATTAGATTAGACAAAAAATGTAAGGAGTCACATCAATGAAATCCTATGTTCTTATATCACATTGAAGAGTTGATATTGATCATCAATGTGATCTGCTAAGATAGCAGCAAACCTTGAAGGCAAAATATTCCATTGCTTTTCGTATTCATATAATGCATGCTACACGAAATCCTTGAATTAAAATTGAACAAGTTTTTAAAACCATGTCACAATAACATAATGTTCACCGTCAAGAAAATACTCTCACTTGAATGAGAATGAATCCATCTTCATTTGTTGCACTGGTAAATCTTACTTGACTCTCATCCATATTTATGAGAAGCCAAATTAATAAAACAGTTCAATACAGAAAAATCTATGTATATATAAAAATGGATATTTGTTGGTTGGTTGGTAAGTGATAAACTTCTACATCGCTCAACCGATTGTGATGAAACTTGACATGTATAAGTAATTTTTCATATAGAACGTTTTTAGGCTATCAATTTTTCTGGCGCTGTAGAACAAATTTTTTGAAAGCACTGTTCTATAACGCTGCGCACGCCAAAGTTCGTTGATTCTGAGTCTGTCAAAACATTGGAACCAGGGCCCCCGCTACCATATGTGCAAAGTGTGCAATGCACACGGGCGCTATCCTTTAGGGGCGCCAAAATCTAGGGTCAAAAATTGCAATAATTTTCAAAAAAAAACAAAAATTAATTTTAAAATAAAAGTTGAGAAATTCTGTTTTTAAATTTTTAAGTTATATTAGCTTAAATAAATTGCAGAGAAAGCCATGGAAACAATTAGAAGAAATATAATTTATTTTCAATAGTCCAAATAGTAAACAAATATAAGCATAAAATATTTTTTTTCTATCTGACATAATAAAGGCTCTAGGAAGCACATAAATATTGTCAGAAAGTCAAAGACCCTGTACGAGTTTAAATAAATAATTGGTTTTTTATTAATGACTCGCTTAGTTTTTATGCTATCGATCTTTTCAAAAAACCATTTTGTAGGTTTTTTTTAAGGGCTATAAGATCAAATTAGTTTAATACTTTTTCTGCCTTTATTTTTGAAAGGGTTTAAGTGAATGGGCTCGAACAAATTGCTTTTTACTTAAGTACGTTAAATTTGTTTTCATTAACCTGATGATACTGACCTCTTAAGTATTTTACAATATATATTTGGAAACAATTCAATCTCCACCCTTCCAAACTTAAGCATTTCACTAAGAATTCTTCTAACATTGCCTGTATCTGTAGCGTCTGGCGAGCGATCTTTTTCAAAGTTAAAAATAATTGAAAATTATTTAAGATCGACAATGCTTCAAGGAAGATTGTCTGGGCTAGCGATATTAGAGGAAAATATCGCTGCTACAATAGCTATTTTGTATTTTTCTATCGTACCTAGCTATCATTTTTGATTTTATAACGAAGTTACCTAGGTATTTTTTATCAGAAGTATCTGCCTATTGCATATTTTTTTAAATATCTAGACATTATAGGCAATATTTCTGTTATTTGTTCGTAAAAAAAATGTGATTTTTAGTTTCGGGTTATTTTTTAGTATTTATAAACAACGTGTCTGTACCCTATTAGTAAAGTAAATGCTTTAAAATGAGTGTGAACAAGAATTTATTTTAATTAATTTTGTTATGATTTTATTCTGTTTGTTTCATTTTGATATTTTAGTCTACAAATAAATATGACTTCTAAAGTTCAGTTTTTTGCTTTATTGCAAGCACCTACCTACCTTGGCGCCTTAAGGGGCGCCAAAATCCTTTTTTGCACACAGGCGCCAGTAGCCCTTACGGGGGTCCTGATTGGAACAGTGGCGATACAGCAACATAGTACTAGTCATATATATAAAAAAGGATGTTTGTTGGTTAGTGATAAACTTCTACATCGCTCAACTGATCGTGATGAAACTTAAACTTGACATGTATAAGTAATTTTTCATATAGGTTTTTGGGCTATCAATTTTTCTGTAACTCGCCACTAGATGGCGCTGTAGAACAATTTTTTTGAAAGCACTGTTCTATAAGGCTGCGCACGCCTAAGTTCGTTGATTCTGATTCTGTCAAAACATTGGAACAGCAGCGATACAGCAACATAGTACAGTTACATATAAAAAATTAAACGAAAATAATATAAGAGCTCTTACCATAAACCTTCTCTTTTGAATGACGAAAAGTCAAGTTCCTTTTCTTGTTTATACAACACAAATATAAGTCTGTGGTATCCTGTACCTTTTGGTGGAAAAGGTTGTAGATATTCAATCAATGTTTCACCTTTCTCAATTGCATTACCTGGTATATTCCCCCTGTAACATTGAAAAAAAAATACATAATTTCAAAGTCTATGTGGTATAATAAGTAGTCCCCTGTGCTAACTTTTAAATAAGATGAAATATCAAGTTCAGGTAAAAATTGCTGTTTTAGATTTCGAAAACAAAACTGTCACAGGTGTTTGAGCTCATATTACTAGTTTGAAAGGTGTTTTATTTCTCTAATCAACAAACTATTTTTAGTGTAAAAGACGAATAGGACTATTATTTACTGAATCAATTGCTTTTGTGAAAAAAGAATCGATCCATAGTTTTCTAATGCATGCTAGTAATCGCATGTTGAAAGAAAATATCTTAATATTTAACTCGCATCAGAGGCGTGGTTATGCTAGCATACACTTTAATAACTTTATATCCTGTACTGGTTCAACTTATGCAAAGAAAACTTTCCATTTTGATATGTAATGGAATGGACTGATACTTGATGTAAGTCTAGAAGGTATTCAATGTTACTTGAACTTCCATTTTGATAAAATTTCAGGGGAAAAATATAATCTAACAAAATGGTATGTACTTGGGTTCAAATAACTTCTAAATACAAAAAATTTTTCTTTACAGATGTAGATTCGATTAATTTTTTTCGATAATATTGAAATTCACAAGTGAAAACTCGACAAAATACGATAACAAAAGTCAAAAACTGACAAACAAACAAAAATCAATAACCACAATTATCCTTTATCAAAGACAAACTGATGTTCACATTGACAATGTCACATCACAAAAGTAAGGACAGATTTCATTCTATCATGTTAGAGTGGATTAATCGGACCAAACAAATCACTATGCGCTAGTTCTAATTGTCATCTTGCATGAATTCTATCTTGTATATGAAGACTTCTTGTTTGTTGGCCTTCATTGCCACAATGACGACAAACTTGCTTCAATATACTCTTAGATTCAAGTTATATTCCTTTCACCATATTTCTTAAGTTTTTCAGTCCATCAAAACTGATGTGGCCCATTCTTTTATGCCACAACTCTGCATTTATTATTGATGTATAAGCATTTACTGTTTCAATGAAGTGTTAAGTTCATATAGCTCATGTTTTCAGAATACTGCTGCCACTGAAGTCTTTCCTTTTGGAATAGTTCTTCTTTCATCTCTGAATTTAACCTCAAAACAGATAAAATACATAAAACGTTGAACTCAAAGCCAGGAATAAATAAAATTTATTTTTTTGTGAGGGATTTGTTTTGTCGTTCTACATCGGTTCTCACTATAAACCAGAATTTTTCAGCCAACAAGGTTTCACAAGTCTTAGCGCTTTTTATTCTGATTGATTCAGTCAAAACTTTCAACATTTTCCATCTGAAGCCTCTGAATCTAGATACCAATTCAGGATATCAACTTTGTCACTGACTGCAGGAAAACAAAAAATCATCATTTTCTTTTTGTGATGGTACAGATATCTGAGCTGACCTTCCATCTGTGAAGCTTTGATTGCCTTCTATTCTGAACTTCCAGTTACTGAAGTTTGTGCCATCAATTAAAGGAACTTTAAATTTCAAGTCTTCCTCTGCCATCATGATCCAACAGTTGATACTCAAACTTGACAGTATAATCATCAAAAAGCAATGTCTGTGCCCATAGTCTATTGAAAGTTGCTTGTAGAAACTCGATAAAGATATCTATTTTTTATTTTGAAAAATTACAAAATTCAAAAACTAACAAACAAAAACTGCAACTATCTTTTTATTTATGTCAAAAACAAACTGATGTTCAAATTGACAAACAAATAACTATTAAAAAGTATCATTTTATCTGTTGAAAAGTTAGCAGGAGAGGTTTCTGCACTGTGCAACACATACTCACACAAACCAATGGATATATTCAGAGTCAGATTCAGTGAAATGTCCATCTGGATTGGTCAAAATCAAGGACCAAAATGTGTTGTCTTCACATTCATAGGTCACACAGGGTTTTTTACTGGTTTCAATAGGTTTAATGATGTTTCCAAAACAAACAGGTATTTTACCATCATCTTTATCATATGTTACACTTAATGGTACACGATTATAAAAATAAGCATCTCCAAACAGATGCTCATAAACACCGTAATGATCAGATATATTCTTTATGTGATTGGGGCCAACCGTCTTCATCCATTCTTTCTTCGTTTCTTCCAGATCAATGAATACTGAAAAATTACCAATTTATTCATTAATTAATGTATACAGAAACAGTGAACAAAAAAATACAAAATGATATGGAATTACACACTAAGATCACCAGAATTGCACAGTGAATATTTAAAAGACAACAATGGACAGCAGATAAAATTAATACTTATAATTTTTATTGAAATTGCGAAATATTCCAGACAATGTCTGTTAGAACCATAGTTGGTATAATGATATGTTATGCTGGATGAAGCAGGATGCCTTGTGATATGATAAGCTGGGACAGTCGATATCACTACTGAGAATTTTAAACATGAGCGAGGATTCAAGAATACTTCTATGATTGAGAGATAGTAAGTTCAAAGTACACATTGTATTTTAATAATGGAAATACAAATAATTTACCATTTTTTAGAACATATTCTTACAAATTCCATTTAAACATTATCTATTTGAGATAAATCACATTTCTGAAATGGAGATACAATTGCATAGCAATATTTTTACTGAAGAACATACAAAAGGCTAGTATAACGACATCACTGTATTACAAGAAAAATGTTTGAATCATTTCTAAATATGAAAGCAAGCATTATCTTTCCAGAAGATGAAAATTTATTTGAGAGACTTGAAATTGAGCTCATGATCCATAATTACACCTAAATCCCTAATTTTGGTTACCATACTCAAGATTGCATTATCAACATTATAATCATGAACAGACACATACTTAGATTGCGAAAAAGAGATTGTAATATACTCCTTTGAATTCAAATTCAATATACAGGGTGTAATTAAATGAGTGTAAAACATTTAAGAAGGTGATTCCTCATCGAAAAAAAGATAGGATCTTTCATATAAAGAAATTTCATTGGAGCATCCCTTGTTAAGATACAGCCCCTTAAAGGGGGTACATATTTCGAAAATTCACAAACTGACAGCGTCATACCAATTTAATTGTCACTATCGCTAATAGCGACCTACTAGATAGATTAGTTTCGTATTTTCGCATTTATGACGATGTACCTCTGTAGTTGTTCCTAAAATAATTTTTTGCTGTGAACTGGTTTATTTTGGGCAAAAAACCCAAGAGATATTTTTTGTTTAGAATGAAACAGGCTATCGGAAATACATTTTCAAATGGTAAACAAATGATAAGACAAAAAGTTATATTGGAAATAAATTTTAGGGGTTGCGTTTTCCACCCCTTACAACCAAGGGGTAAACCAAATACATTACTAGCTAAGTGTCTTATTGGTAGTACATAACGTCAGTTTAATTTCAATATTGTAACTTTTTCAGTGCTTGTGAAAAAAATTGTTATACAAATTTTATGTACCCCCTTTAAGGGGCTGTATCTTAACAAGGGATGCTCCAATGAAGTTTCTTTATATGAAAGATCTTTTTTTCGATGAGGAATCACTTCCTTAAATGTTTTACACTTATTCAGTTACACCCTGTATGTATAAATCATCAATATTATTAGGGTAATACAGCGATCGATCGAGAACATGATTATAGTACTTCTTTATTATTTCCATTAAAATTAAAGCATATTCTAATGAGTAATATTATTTTTCTAAAATAAAAGGCGAAGTAAACCCTGTGAAAATCCAAGTGAACAGATATATTGCCTGATAAGCAGTTGTTAATCACCACTCTGACTTCACCCCCCAGTAAATAAACTCGTGAGTGGAGCGGGTATTCCATCACCAGTTCCTAAAGCTCTCAGTTTTTCAATTGGAAGTTTATCGTTTAGTCCAACGGTACTCAACCTTTTTTCCCTTTGGGACACATAGTCGCTACTGCTAGTCCTTGCGGGCCGCAATAATAAAACTGAACTGAACAAACTACTTTCAGGTTTTGCGTTATTAGAGTTATACGTTGTATGTAAAATACAATAAAACGCAACTGTAAAAATAAACCATTCATTTAAAAATTAATGCGATGATTGACATTAACGCAAACTATTTACAATTTCTGATAAATCTGGCATATAATTACTACATGCTACTCTCAAAACGTTGTCCAGGTGCGAATCACTTAGTCGGGATCTATAAACATTTTTCGCATATTTCATTTTTGAATATGAGGATTCGCACAGGTAAGTTGACGCAAACAAGATGAGGAGCAAGTGTACGCAATTTTTAAGCTTTCTGTAGTTATCGGGTACTAATTTCCAGAATTCTTCATATTTGTTTACATCTCTGTTTTCTTTAAAAATCGCCTCCAGATTTGTATCATTTTTAAAATCAATTAGTTCATCCGATGACTTTGCAACATCAAATCCCAATGCCGCAAGTTGTGAAGTAGTGGCTACTTCTAAGTGCCAGGGATTTTCCAATAATAGAAGACATTCCTTTATTTTTCGCAAATCCTTAAATCTTTCTTGAAATTCGTTGCTCAGGGAAACTAAGTAATTAGAAATAGTAGTATAGTTTTCTGGGGACACATCAATTCCATCTTGTTGAGCTTTTATCAATATTGGAAAGTTATGTAGTTTTTTAATATTAATTTCTTCGATGTACATCTTCAGCTTGTCTTCAAAAGCAAATACTTAACTTGCCAACTGCGAAATAATTTTCTGTTCACCTTGTAAACGACGATTGAGTTCACCAAGTTTCTCTGTTATATTGCAAAGAAATGCTAGAAGACACCACCAAACATCTTGCTCAAATTCGCTGTAAACTTTATTAATTTGTTGTAGAAACAAAATTATGTCGTGCCGTAAAACGTAAAAACGTTCTAAAACTTTTGTTCTATACTCAGTCATCGTACTCCGGTATGTGAAAGTACATCGCCATTCTCACTTCCTAATTCTTCTAATAAACTCTTGAATTTCTTATGGTTAAGATCCCGTGCTCTTATAAAATTAACGATGTTAATAACGGTTTTCATCACGTCGTCAACTTCCGGTATGGTGGTACGCACCGCAAGATTTTCTCGGTGTATGATGCAATGAAATGATAAGATATTTATGTAATATTTCCTTTGCAAGAGAGAAATAAACCCAACCTTATGTCCTGTCATAGACGGGCAGCCATCCGTGCATATAGATAACAATCTTTTAATATCAATGCCATTTTTCTCCAAAAAAAGTACAAATAATATCAATATAATCACTTCCTCTGGTATGTCCTTTCATTTGCAAAAATTTGAGAAAATTTTCACGAATCGTATAATCTTCAGTATAGTACCTTACAAATCTACCTTACAATCTATCTATCTATCTATCAAACAGAGAACATTGTGATGTTGATGAAACATCAGTGCTCGAATCAAATGTTAAACTGAAAAATTTACGATTCTGTAAGTCGTCTATGACATGATCAAAAATATGTTTCGAAATATCTTTAATTCGCCTAACGCAGGTGGAATCTGAGAGCTGTAGTTTCCTGATTTGTGATATTATCTGTGGTTTGTTGCTAAACTTTTCAAATAATAAATTTGAACCATGTATAAAACACTCCTTCACAATCTCAGCGTCACTAAATAGTTTCATATGTTTTCCTAGTAAATAAGAAATTTTGTAGGACGTTCTAGTCAATACCAATTGATGAATAAATATGGTTCTCACAATAATGTTAAAAATTGCATTTTATATGTTAAAAATTGCACTGTTACATCTTGTGACATTGAAACTGACATAATATTTTGCTGCTGCTGTAATTACTTTTTCAAGACGCATAGCTTTTCTTTTCGCAATGCAGAGCCAACTAGAAAACTATCGCTAAACATCTTGTGTTTTGGATTATATTGTCTCATAATATTATATTTTTTTAATATCACACTTTCTCGACAAATCAAACAAGTAGTCGAACTGTGTTTGTTAGGTACAACAAAATATTCTTCCTCCCATTGTCTTGACATAATCTATTTTCGTCAGAAATTTTACTGATTGATTTTGAGGACACGCCAGCCATTGTAATGGTTACGAATTCTCGGCACAAGTGAAAGAAACTCAGTCGACTGACGAACACAATAATTTACAAGTACCACGTGGCTTTGGGGAACCAACCTCTAAATGAACAGTTTTACTTTACACAAGAATGAGATGTTACTCGCTCTAAGACTTGAACTAAAGAGAGAGAAGAATCATAATTTTTCTTCCGCGTGTTGATGAAACCGGAAATCTGGCATTCAGTCTTACCAACACCGTTCGCGAGTATTCAAACACGAGGCTTTCCAGTGTTCAACCACAGTATTCGATTTGGGTCAAAAACCCCTACACATTTTTGTGTCATTATCATAAAATACTATTGTCAAATAATCTAAAAATATTGTCTTAGCCTTCAGGCTGCAGAAAAGGCTAGAGCCGCTAGAGGGCCACATAGAAAAGGCTGGCGGGCCACATGCGGCCTGCGGGCCACAGGTTGAGTATTGCTGGTTGTCTATCGAATGCCTTGGAAAAAACTGTATAAATACAGTCTTATTTGCCCTTTTCAGCAAGAAATGTTCCTAGGTCGAAAAGACTGACCTACCAGTATAAAGCCATGTTGTAGAGGAATTATACTAGTTTTGCGAGACCATGTTGAATGGACTAACTAATTTGTCTGAAAGTTCAGGTATCATAGATGGAATATGATTATTTTTAGAATTTTTTTCCAGTTTTCAGGAATGACGAGGAATTATTAAATATGTGCTAGGTATGTTGAAATGGAAACTCACATTGTTTTTTACGAGCTAACTTTTCCAAAGCAGAATTTTTTTTCTGTTCTTTGAATACTCTCAATCTTTCTTCTAAACGTTTTGATCGTGAATGTACAGGAGGGGGTAAACCAATGTCAACTCGAAAATGTATAGCAGGGTCCTTATAATTTTTCTCTAGAAATAAATAAGATGTATCTTATTAAATCTGTTTCAGAAGAATCGTCAATACTAACCAGCAAGTACCTGATCTAAAGATCTTGCTACTCCTGGGGGTCTTCCTCTAAGATGATGACCACTCCTTACCTGGCCACAAGAGAAGAATCCTATATTTCCGTTTAAATTTAATCTACATAGTTTCCACATAGAAGAGGCCATTTTACCTAGCTTGAGTCCAAATTAATGTTAAATTATACTACTTTTGTTTGTGACAATTATAAAATTGTTATATTTTTCATGACTTTATTTTTATAACCTCCAAGAAAGCAAATAACCTCAAAAATCTTCTTAAATTTTTCATACGGCTAAAGCACACTTGCCACTTCTCTCATAGCTTTCATGAGTTCAAAACGAAATATTTCTCACGCAGTGAGAAATATCAGCCATTACAGTGAGAAATAATTTCTCACTGTTATCACAATAACCCAAGTCAGTCCTGAATTGTTACATGTCAGATTGATATGACACTTTCTCCATGTTGACAAAGCTACGCCGACGATTCGCGTGCAATATATGCAAGTAGCCCATTGTCGGCGTTTCCATAACAACAAAACCGAAGTACTGTATAATTATTGCTATCAACTTACCCAACGAAAATAGTTTTATTGTTGAGTGTTATAGTATGAACAGTTCAGATTTATTAAGTATTTAATATAATGGAATACGAAGATTTAGAATTGGAAAATACACCTCAAGAAATTGTTCAGAAAGCAATAAATGTTTGCGATAATTTGCTACCAAGCACATCAAGAGAAAAATATGAAATCGCTTGAAATCGTGTTGATATATCAAAATACGTAAATACGTGCATTTTTGAAACGCAAATCTGAAAAATATGCTCCGAAACAGTCAAAAACATCTGACGGAATTCAACAATTTTTAAAAGATGCACCCGATTAAAAGTATTTGCTGATAAAGGTATGAATTGAAATTTTTTAAATTGTTATCGAAAAATGAATGTTCGGTTTTGATTTCAGGCTGCTTTAGCTATTGGCCATACAGGGGTATGTGATTGTGATGAACTTCGAAAATTAAAAATTGATGTCATGGAAGATCTTAATTTGGCTCTTTTAATAAAATTACCCGATACTAAAACCAAGGTTCCTAGAAATTTCACAGTCACAGGAGAATTCTACCAAATTTACAAAAAATATGTGAAGCTTCGACCATGCACAAATGAAACACGTTTTATTTTTTAATTACAAAAATAGCAAATGTACGAAACAGCCTAGGCTGTGTGGATAAATAAATTTGGCACTATGGCGAAAGAAATAGCGAAATTTTTGCAATTACCGAACCCTAAATTATATACTGGCCACTGTTTCCGAAGGTCATCTGCGACTATTTTAGTTAATGCAGGGGCAGATCTTTTAACTTTAAATCGCCATGGGGGTTGGAAATCCAGCAATGTTGCTGAATCTTATATCGACAACTCCGTAGCTAACAAATTGAAAATTTCAAAAAGTATAGTAGAATCCATTCAGCCTCCAGCGCCATTAGAACCTGAATGCAACAATGCTGTGGAAGCTCAGTACGTTTCCCCATCAACTTCAACTTCGACTGCAGCTAATATTTCAATTACCGAAAACATGTTGAAACAAAACGACCTACCAGGAATTATACTTTACAAAATTGTTCAAATATAACTGTTAATTACTATTTTAAATAAAATATAAAAATGAGTTAATGACATACAAGTATTATTATATATGTATTTTAGTTTTCAATACTTGAAAACAACGCAACCGTAGAAAACGTACAGCGTACAATGCGTGAGAAAATGACATATTTCTTACTCGCTTGATTTGCGGTACTCGCCTTTGGCTCGTGCCAACAAACTTCTGCGCTCGTGAGAAATTGTCGTTTTTCTAACTTGTACAATATACTATTTCATTAGATAATGATTTATTGTTTGAAATTTTTCCAACATATACCTACATGAAACTTTCTATTAATAATATCAGTAGATTTAAACATCGCTATCTGTTATTGAATCAGTACTGGGGTATGCTTTTGTTCAATAAAAGTTAAAGGTTTGTATTAAACAGCAAATTGAATATGTTCATTCTGATATAGCTCTGGTGTTACACAAGGAAGTGTGTTAGGTGCTTAAATGCAAAATTTTTCTATAATCTTAAAAAAAATTGTACCAAACTTGTTAGCCATGCTGATAGTTCCAATCTTATATAAAACCAGATGTATAGTTTTCAAAACAAATAATTATCATCTGCCAATGATTGTGCAATTCTCCATTGCTTTCTGCTAGAAAGCTCCACATTGCCGAATGATCTGACATCACCTGGTTGCAGTGGCAGAAAATGGTTCGGATTGATAGCTTCTGGCTCATTTGGATCGACTGATATGTGTGTCAAGGGCCTTGCATTGATAATATATTCAATTTCACTCATCAAGGTTACCAAAACCTCTTCTTTTGGATTGATGGAGTTCAAACTGATCTTCAGAGCTGTTTTAATAAATCTTATCATCCTTTCCCAGATTCCACCCATGTGTGGAGTTCCGGGAGGGTTAAATTTACAAATTATATTTTTAGATGCGACTTCTTCTGAAATCTTCTTCTGGTCTAAGCTTTGGAACCATTTCTTATCTCTTATCTCCTTTGGTTGACCTCTTCTACACATAAAACGTCGGATATCAAGTATAGCAGAACTTGTGTCCAAAGATGCCGCAAGTTCAATATGGATTGCACGGAGGGTGAGACAAGTAAAGAGTACGCCATATAGTTTTTCTACTCTTCTTCCTATTGCAACAGTCATGGATTTCGAGAATCTGGATATATTGGGGAAGTCCATCGGAAGAACTAGACTATCATTAATATCTAAGAGTAGTATCAGATTGTCTTCAATGGAGCAACGTGGTTCTTCCGGCCAATCAGTTTCAGGCAATTTTAGAAAATGTGGTTCAGAAAACCATTTTCCTCCTGGCAACAAATCGATATATTTCCTTTCTTTCGTTGCTCGATCTGCAACATTCAATTCAGATGGTAACCAGTGGCATTGCGACAAATCAGAGTGTTTGTGAATTTCTCCAAGTCGACAAGCTACGAAAATCGGGAATCTTGTTGATTCAGACCTGATTTGATGAATAACAACCATTGAGTCAGTCCAGAAGTAAACTTTATCAATTTCATATTCCAGTTCCTTCCTTATAGATTTTGCCATTCTACATGCAAGCACTGCTCCTTGTAACTCCAATTTCGGGATGGTTTGTTGATTCATTGGAGCAACTTTGCTGCTAGAAATGAAATGTGGACTTCGTCATTTTCAACCATCCTCAAAAAGGTGACTGCTGCATATGCCTCATCACTTGCATCGGAAAATAAATGCAAATCAACTTTGTTGATTAACGTAGAATAAGGAAAGTAATATCTATTGATAGTGACGGGAGTATAATGTTTCAATTGGGTCAACCATTTCAGCCAGGTGTACAAAAGTTCTTCTGTTATAGCTTGATCCCAATTAATATGACTTCTCCATATATTCTGAATCAGAATTCCAGCATTTATCATGAGAGGAGCAAGAAAACCAGCAAGCGGGTCAAATACTGACATAACCGTGCGCAGTACTTCCCTTTTTGTTGGTACCTTCTCTACATAGCAGATTTCATCAGGGATTTTTTTCATGTTCAATATAAATACAAAATCGTCAGTCGTAGGAGACCAGGATATGCCCAGAACTCTTTTTAACATTTTTGAGTCCAGTTTCACATCTACTTGAGAATTAGCACGAAAGTTCTCTGGAATCGACTGCTTTACTTCATTCGAATTACTTATCCACTTCACCATATCAAAATTTACCTCTTTATGAACAACAATAACATTTCGAATTCTATCGATAGCTTCATCTATCGTATGGCAAGAGTCCAAGTAATCGTCCACGTAATGTTGTTTCTCCATTGCACGGACAATCCCTGGATATTTATCTTCTAACGACGCTGCATTTTTGTTTTTTACAAACTGTGCTGCAGACGGGGACGATATTGCACTAAAAATCATCACCTTCATTTCGTAAACATCTGGACTTTGGTTTCTCTCCATACCTCGCCATAAAAATAATTGTGCACATCTGTCTTCCTCGATAATTTAAACTCTATGAAACATATCTCTGATATCACCTCCAAAAGCAATTCTTCCTTGTCTGAATCGCCACAAGACAGATATCAAAGATGGAACGCAGTCAGGACCTTGGCAAAGGAAATCGTTTAGACTCACACTTTGAGATTTTGCCGCAGCGTCAAAAACCAGGCGAATATTTCCATGTTTGTTGATATTCGCAACCCCAAAGTGTGGAAGATACCATCAGTTGTTTTTATTATTCTGAACTTCAGATGGATGTAACTTCCTGGCGTATCCTTTTTGAAGATACTCAGTAATCTTTGCAGTATACTCTTCAGCAAATTTGGCATCCTTGTCCATTTTTCGTTCCATACAATACAGGCGATTCAGGGTATTGGTTTTACTGGGCGGTAGAGTAAGGTTGTCACGTTTCCATAAGTGCCCTATTTCATAATGATTACCGACTTTCTTCAGAGTTCTTTCCATGATCTCCACAGCCCTTTTGTCTTCGATTGATTTGATAACATTGTCTGGTATTTTCACATCAAAAGCTTCAAGACGAAAAGTATCTTTCACCATTTCATGCAGTTTGTCATCATTCAAATGTCTGCAACAAAGAGTTACATGGGAAAGAAAGGTTTCAGTTTCACTGGTAGGACCATGTACTTACTGTCTATCCTAATTTACATTGAGACATAATGGGCTGATGCAGTTGTGGTTCGATGATATTTCTTGGTACTATGAGGCCACAATTATCCTGACCGATAACAGCTCCGGTTTAGCATTTCTTATTGATGCCAATAGATCACGGTCTAAATGAGGATATTTTTCGTTCAAGTTATCAACATCTATTTCTTGAGATGGAAATCGCAAATTCTGCACGGGTTTCTAGAAGCAGCGATATCTAAAGAAACCATTCGTGAATGATCTTCGTGGTGAGTTATTTCATTAGTCCATTGGAAACAGAGTGGAACAACCGATCCTAGAAGTCGTAATCTATGAGCTTAGTCTTCCTCAATCATGGTACAGGTTGATCCTTCATCAAAGAGTGCGTAAGTCGGAATATCCCCAGCTGGTCTTCTAAGAAGTACAGGTGCGATTCGTAGTAGTACAGTTTTTGTTTCATTTCGCCAAAATCACTTGTGAGCAATGAGGCATATGTCCTCTTTTATGAACAGGAGGGAACGAAGCAGCACCTTTAATGTGTTTTTTTTTCTTCTTTCCTTTTTTTTATAATCTTAGTTCTTTGAATTGATTTGTATTTTTAGTTGTGTCACAATTAAATATAAAAATCCTTTTATAGAAGAAAAAAAAAATAATTATCTCATCTCTCTTCTAGAGTTTAACAAACGATAATTTACATTTTTCATCCTGTGCAAAAACTGATAAAGGTTCTACTTAGAGATGATGTATTAAACATTTGAGGTGCACATTGAGAAAAAACTAGCTAGCGCAAGTGTTATGTGATTAGTGTTTCAAAAAGTTTTTTAAAACTTATCATAAGTTTATGCTAAAGATGAATTATACAGCCTCTTTCAATATGTTTTTGAGAGTAATAAAGTAGTGTTTATTTTTGTGAATGACGAAGAGAGAATTATTCATAACAATTTGAACCTTATTCTTCCTAAACTGAAAAAACTGTATAGAAATGGTACGCGCCCTATGTGGCTAGCTGATTATATAATCATTCCATACTGATATCAGATTTTCTTTGTTTACCATGTTCAATTGTGTCGGTAAAGTATTGTTAACTGTAATTTACCCAATATTTAGCGTTTAATAGAATTAAGTGATTTTATTTACTAGGCACAAGCGTGTTTTATTTTCATTCCTATTGCACTTTTTTGATGGACTTTATTGTTGAAATGAATAATTTCTTTTCTGTTAACAGTGTTTACAATGCAGCATGCATATCAAATATTGGCCAAGTGCGGGTGTCTTGCGTTACTGTTGAGAATTCGTACGTGGCTTTGAAATATCAGGTCGACTGATATCCAATACCTTTCACCATAATCGTTCAATTAGTAAATTTCAGAAAGTAATTTAAATAACCTCTAGAATGGGCAACTTTTGACCGACATATTTTTTTTAAGGACAAAACACAAGCACTACAGATAAATACCTAAGACGCTATAAGAGCGGTGCCTGTGCGAAAGTAGCTATTCACTTTGGATTTGAATTGCTGGAAATTAAATTCATTTGTTAAAACGTTCTTAGAAAGTTTATTACACATAAACACAGTTCTTCAAATGAAAGAGTTCTTAAACGTTGAAGTTCGCCGTGTACCGAGTTGAACCTCAAAACGATGAGCAGCCAGAGTCCGTCGCGTATTTCTGATATGTACCGCTCTTGGTGGAAGCAAATGTGCCAAGTCACTTGAACACTTCCCGTGAAAGTATTATAGATTGGAGACAAATCTCCAACCTTCATTCGATGTTCCAGACTATCAAGGTTGTAAGTATATCTAATCTCCAATTACGGTTTCACATGCTGGCCTTCCTTATATACCTCCTGTTACTGAATATCTGAAGTATTGTCGTGTGGTACGTTATTGACGACATAGTAAGGTTACAAAATAGTAACACTGAGCTTGCAACCATTTGTGTTTTGAATTATATGAGCTTGAAGTTGCATGAAGGGTAAAACAATGCAATTTTCAAGGCAGCTGAGCTCAAGTCCGGAAGTTACTGTTTGTATTAAACTGCTCAAAACATCAGTTATTTTTGACTCTTCTGGCAAATTCGTTTCTTTCCATAACACAATTTTCAATTTTGTATACAGATACATTTCTATTGTTCGTACCTATCATCTATTATTATTCATCAGTGAAAAGTTATTCAAGAAACCACTGTTATTTTACACCGGTGTCAAGTACATTTCTACTCTTCAAATCTTGTGAACACATTGAGTTCATTTTTGGGTTAGAGAACCCTTTAAACTTCGGAGTTTCTATCTTTAAATACAATAAAACCTAGTGTCTTATAGTCATTTCATATCTATATACATTTTCTTATATCATTTCTCTGCTTGAATTTATTGACGTTTTTCTCTTTTTTATTTGCATTATCACACTGTTGATGTGCAAACTAATTTGTGAAAATAAAGAAATTATTATTATTATTATTATATGTTACAAAAATTCTTACTTCAACCATTGATATAACAGGTACATAGGTATTATTTAATCGATATGATTAAATAATAAGCGAATTGAATATAAAACGAATATCAATTTTTAATTAGAACTGGGATGATACTATTAATATTTATTACTTTTTGAAAAATAATATAAGTACCTAGGTATACTTGTTAGAGTTAAGAACAAAACCTCCGGCTTTAGTTAAAAATTTATATGTCTACATTTTTCAAGAAAATCTTTTATTGCACCGTCAATGTCTGTAGCATCACACACCTCTTGTTCAATAGACAAGATAGCCAAATTTGTTAGACTAGAGCAGTGGTTCTTAACCTTATAGTCATGCGGGAACATTTGACAAAATTTCTGTCAGGTAATGGACCACCAAGTTGGTTAATTAGTTTGTAATTAATATAAAGTACCTTACGATAACTACAAATAAATACAGTACAGTACACTAAATAAATGGAATGGTTGTTCTAATTCATCTATAAATAAAATACGCATATCATTTAATGTCCTTTAATCATTAGGTAAAATCTGTAACTGTAGCAAAAATTGCATTATAAATTAATGCGTTTTTTGTGATTGCATGCATACTCTTCACTGAATTCTGAATCCTTGGATCAGTGTTACTTAAACTTAAAGGCATATCAGCAGTGGCATCCAATCGATTTCGGTGAACGAGAGCTGTGGGGGTTTTTATATTCAGTTTCTTAGAGTCTCTCATGTAATCTGAAACTCGTGTTTTAAGATACCGTCAGTTTTGACCAACATACCATTTGTGACAGCTTCCACAGTTCAATTTGTACACAATATTGGATTGTATTTCTTGTGGTGTTTTTGTTTTTTATTTCGAGAAAAAATGCTTTACAACTGTATTTTCGTTTGAAAAGTCCGCTTTATTTTTTCGGTACTGAGTAGCATTTCAAGTTTATCAGATAAATTTTCTGCAAATGGAATTTTGTGATATTTGGGTTTCACTCCTGTATTTTGGGAGGGGAAATTTCTTTCTTCAATTATTTTTCTAATAAAATTAGAAAATTATTTTTTACTAGGTAATTCTCAATTAATTGGAGATTTTCGTTATGGAATTTAGAATTGGAAATGGCAATTGCAATTGTACACGAGTAAAATCAACATTATAAGGAATTTGAAAACAAGAGCAATTGAAATGCTACTCAGTACCGAACAAATTAAAGTGGCCTTTTCAAATGAAAATACAGTTGGAAAGCATTTTTTCTCGAAATAAAAAACAAAAACATCACAAGAAATACAATCCAATATAGTGTACAAATTGAACTGTGGAAGCTGTCACAAATGATATGTTGGTCAAATCGGACGGTATCTTAAAACACGAGTTTCAGAATACATGATAGACTCTAAGAAACTGAATATAAAAAACCCCACAGCTCTCGTTGAACATGAAAAAGAATAAGGACACATTTTTGATTTTGATCATCCAACTATTCTAGATGTTCAACCATATTTATCCAAAAGACTTAGAGCAAAATGATACATATCCTCAAATGCGATAGTGTTAACTCTAGAAGAGATGTCGATGGCCTTAATACTGCAAATTTCAATTTGATAAATAAAATACAGGAATAATTAACCTTTTTTTCATTCTTTTTCTTTCTATCATTGATAAAAAAAAAGACACCACCTTATCAGAATCACAGATAAAGCCATTCGTTTGTTTCATGTCGTTTTGTGTTGGTGTTGTCTCGGAAATTTTGGTTGTTTGCAATGTTTTTTATTTTTTTTTAACATGTATCGGATATGTCCAATGGTTTTTTAAAATAGTGATATTATCAACACGAAAAAACTACTTTTCGGTGAGTAATTTAATTAAGAAAGGTATGTTTATGAAAATTCATTGTTACAGAGTCCTGTTTAATTAAATTCGAAACGTCGGCAAGAAAACAATTGTTTTTTTAGAAAAAAAATTGATTCTGTTACCCAACCAACCGTTTTTCAGTAAAATATTGATATATAAATGAAAATGTTTTATCGCGTCAGGTATTAATGACATATGTATATTCTTTCATCATCCTAACTGGAACCCTATTTACCTTTAATAATTATACAGTTTAATAGTTCCATAAAACATAAGACGCAATAATAATGATCTATCAAATGTTTGAGATTTTATTAACATCTTCGCTAGTTGATAAATTACTGCGACAATGCAAATGATAATGTTCCTAGAGATATCAATATCAAAATCATTGTTTACCTTTTCACGTTATTGGGAACTGGAAATTTGAATGGGTTTCGCTGAATCTGACTGTAATTCAAATGATGCCACTCTGTTTCGAAGTAATTACAATCAAGGCTGCAAACGTCAACCTAATCACTGAATTTACCTCATTGTTTGAATCATTGTTATTGTTTCATTTCTATATTTACCCTTTGTATGTCCCTATTTTATAATTGATATAGTACAATCGAATGCAGTACATACATAACTCACCTTATTAAATCGTTCGATGAGTATCCTGTCTTTTGCTTTCTGCAAGGGATCTTTAGGATGCAGAGGATATTGGCTATATCTCTCATCTAAATAATCTACTATTATCAAACTTTCATACAAAATATCTCCGTTTTCTGTTTCCAAAGCTGGAACTTTCCCATTAGGAACTTTGTCATACAGCCAGTCAGGTTTGCTTGATAAATTAATATTAACTATGTCGTAGCTGAAAAAAGAGAAAATTAAAAAAAAAAGTGCCGAAACCAGGGATCGAACCAGGGACCTTTAGATCTTCAGTCTAACGCTCTCCCAACTGAGCTATTTCGGCGATATTAAAACATATAAAAGTATATGGATAAAAACTTACGGTATCTTCTTTGCATCTAAAACCAGTATCACTCTTTGCGAATAAGGACAAAATCGATTGCTGTACACCCGCAGTTTACTTCCTCTTGGTGGAGGAGGTTGCTTAGCACCTGAAATAAAACAAGTAATGAAAAATTGTACCGTAATTAAACCTCTTGATTGTATGAAAAAAAAATAACATTGAATAAATCTTATATTGTGTCATATGTCTCGTTTGTCAACACCTTCAATTCATCAAGGAGAATGGGCCTCTATGAAAGTAAAAAAAGACTTTGAAATTGGAATTTTTCGAAACTATTCGATTTCTGAATTTTACGCAATTCAGAGATGGAAAGTGAATTTATGAAATTTAGTGGTCGATGCCAAACTTTTACGAAATCCCGAAATCGAAGTCGGAATTTGATAGACTTTCCAAGTCAAAGCCTGAATTTAACAAAATTCCGAGATTCAAATTTTTATTCGAAATATTGATTTTCTCGGCATTACTACGTATCAATGTTCGATACCGTTATCAGACCGATTCGATTTCCGTTCAAATGAAAAGTTTAAAAACCAAACATAAATTGTAAAATCAAATGCGAGGTGGAATCGATGTGACGTGTTACCTATTTACAAGCAGATATAAAAACAGTACGCAGTACATCTACCAAAGAAGCTTATTCTCCTGCGGTGGGTTATAAATTTTGTTTGTTTGGGATTCTCAGACGGTCCATTTATTTTGAACTGATCCACCTAGAGACAATGACGAGGAGCTAGTATTCCGAAACCGATCTGCGACGAATCTTTCAAATAAAGACACTGCACTAATGCCTGATGGTTTTACTTCAACTCTACGCCGCATTAGCTGGGATAGTTGTTGTTTTTTTTGTCGGGTATTGCCACACGCGTACCTACAAAATCGTTGATGAGAAGCAAGGGTTTGTCATTTTCACCAGAACATTCAGTAAGTTCGGTGAAAACCATTTGATCGGTTTTATCAAAAGATCTGCCTACACCCCCTTATTCATATTCGCCATTTCAAGATGTCTCATAAGTCCTGATCCAAACTAAAGAAGGAGGTAGAGGAGGTCTTTTCTGATGAAAAAGTTCATATTTTTTCAAATTATCGTAAAAACTCAAGGACATCTCTAACGATAATTTCTGAAGTGAGTAGCAGGTTTGTTGTTCTTCCGTTTACGTGAATATTTCATTAGACCACATTCAGCTGAGGAATTTGTAGAACCTTCAATCATAACATTCGACGAAGATTTGTCGGATTTATCTGATGATAACACACCATAATTTTTTCTAATACCTATAGTATCTTCATAAATAGGCATACATATTTATTATTATGTGAATATTTTAAATCAAAAAGTTAGAACAGTACCAAATAAATACATACACATACCTATAGTAGAATAACTCCGTTTATCCAAGTCGCGTTTAACCGAGCTCCGGATTAACCGATCTTGTAGGATATTTCAATTTAAAATCAATGGGGAATCCCCGAATAGCGTTAGGAAACCCCTAAAACTGCCGTTTAGGTTTCTGAAGTTAGTTAGCATGTGGTGAATGTGTGCGGTATGCTTACAGTTTGTTTTTGTGTTCCTACGAAGTTTATTAAGCAGAAAAATACTAAATTGCTTTATGTATTTAGTTGGAGCGTCACGATAATCTTCTGGTAGATGGTTGCATGTATATATTGTGAATTTGACCTACATGTTTAAATTTTTGAATTGAGTCATTTAGCTTTATTCTAATGATGGAGCAAAACAAGCGAAAAAGAATTGTCATTCCAATTGAAAAAAAATTGAAAGCAGGTGAAATACTCGAAAGTTGTTGCACCAGATTATGGAGTAGTTGAGGTAACATATGGAAATTGAAAAAAAAATCGCACTAAAATTGAAGAGTGGTGTATAAAACAAGCCTCTTCTTCTTCGGAGAGAAAGTCAATGGAAACTGGCGAATTTGAAAAAGTAAACGAAGCATTATTCATTTGGTTTAACCAACAAAGATCAAAAGGTGTGCCTTTGTCAGGTCCAATTTTACAACAGAAGGCAATACTATTTAGTAGACAATTCCCAGAAGCAGACCAGTTTACAGCCAGTTCTGGTTGGATTGACCGCTGGAAAAAACGGTATGGTGTACGACAAACTCTAAAAAGCAAGTCGAAGTGGGTACTCATATGATTAAGTTTATAATTGCGATGAAAGTGGTCGGTCTGAATTATAAAATGCTTCCTTCAAAAACCTTGTCGTCTCAACAGGAAAGATCAGCTCCTGGGCATAAGAAGAGTAAGGAAAGATTAACCATAATGGCATGTTCCAATGCATCTGGTAAGCACAAACTCCCCCTGATAGTGATTAGAAAGTCTGCATGTCCTAGGACTTCAAAGGATATTTCACCCAAAGCCTTACCAGTGTACTACAAGAATCAGAAGAGCGCGTTGATGGATGCGAATTTATTTACTACCTGGTTTAAAGAAGAGTTTGTGCCTTCTGTGACTAAGTTTTTGAAAAGAAATCGCCTTCCTATTAAAGCAGTCTTTTTAATGGATAATGCCCCATCTCACCCTGGAGAAGGACTTCGCGTGGGCAAAATTATGGATCAGGGCATCCTCGAAAACATTGAAAAGAATTATAGGCGTTTGTTCTTTGCACTTTTGTTAGCATACACAGAACAAGAAGATAGAATTATCGATGGATTGAGAAAAGATTACACTAAAACATGTTATGTACTGGGTGAGTCAAGCTTGGGATTCTGTGCGCGCTTCCACTATTCAAAAATCTTGGTCAAAAGTTATTGAGACTCTGAGGACTCTTATGACAGTGAAGATATTTCATTAAATGATTTGGCTTCTAAATTGAAAAGCGGTGAAGGTCCTGGTTCTGTCAATGAGACAGAGAAAATCAAGGAAGAAAAAAGTTTGTTTGAAGTAATGCGAGCATTAGAGGGTTGCGAGAATGTGACAAGACAATATGTTGTTGAATAGATTAGAGCAGATAACATAGAAGAACTAAGTATCGAAGAAATAACGGATGCCTTGCAGGAAACCGGAGAAGTCGATGGCGATGATGAAGTGGTAGATGGAGAGACTGCTACTAAGATATCCCATCAAGAAGGTTCTGCTGCTTTAGAAAAGGCTTTAATTTATATTGAGCAGCAACCAGAGGCAATACCTGCCTGTTGAATACCTGATCTACTCCTTCTTAGTAGATGGCGGAACATTGCAGCGAGAAAAAGACGATGCAATATGAAACAGAAGCGAATAAATAGTTATTTTACTGTTTTGTAATGTACTTATCTACATTCCACATATCTCGTTGTTAATAAAATATTTTAGGAACATCAATAATGTTTTATTAGACAATAATAAATAAATCCGAATTATGCGAGTTTATATTTATCCGAAATGGATCCCCCCCATTACTTCGGATAACCGGGGTTCTACTGTAGTTATCAGTTTTGACAAGTATTCTTCAATAAAAACCCAAACGCACACCACTGCAGGTAATAAAACGATGTGAAGTATCATAAATCCGCATATACCAGTTGTGGCAAATCATAAAAAAATCACAAAATTTTGTCTGAGCACTCTGTTAGCGTTTCGAATTTATAATGAGCATTTATTATTCTTTACTATTAGCAAACAGAGTATAAATGACTTTCGGTTCATCTGATTTGTCCAGTAGGGCAGAATGGGCACGTATTTTTATTATTTACTAGCGATCCGCACGGGTGAAATGCTGATACTAAATATACATATAAACGCGTGCGATCGTTGCTAATCATAAAGTGCTATAGGGCGAAGCGCGGCCTTCGAAGCGCTATTTATAAGCAGGCGCCCCCGGCCGGTACCGCCGCAACCGTTATGCCCTTGCATTATAAATCTGTCGAAAATATCAATTTAAATTACATGCTGTAAATAGCCATATTGACCTATATTAAATGCACAATGTATTTAAGGTACTTAATTGGATTATTATGACTGCTGTATAGCTTAAAATCGCTTAAAAAAGTAAAGGATAAAAATTGTTTATTGTGGGGTACCCCGAAAAGATAGACGTATACACCGCCGCCTCTTTTTTCAGATCTCTTTACTGTAGTGCATTATTTTGATGTATCTACTAGGGTTTAGCCAGCGTTTGCAATGTATGCGCAAAAAATGTGTTTGTTTACGACATCACTTTAAAAACCTATAAAAATATCACAATATGCATATCTATACTCACTTAACACTCACTCATTCATCTCTCTATTTCTCCGTACTAGTAAGACCTAGGAAGGTAAAATTTGGTATATATTAGGTGTTTCTTTGATCTCAGAAAGGATTTTCAAATATTCCAACTGGCACGCCCCTCAGGGTAAAAGGGGAGCGTTTATATATGAAAATTACTTTTTCATCATTGTTTCTCCGTACTGCTATAGTTTCGGAGGTTGAAATTTTGTATATAGGTTCCTCTTGTGTGGTAGATGTGCACTAAGAAAATATTTTTAAATATTCCAACTGGGACGCCACATTTTCTCCGTACCTCTATAATTTCGGGGACTGAAATTTTGTTAGTGGCTTCGTTTTATTTTGTAGATGTACAATAAGAAATAATTTTTCCAACTGGGACGCCAGCTGCGGGGGAAAAGGCGCGGTAATAAAATAAAGTTACCTTTTCATCACTGTTTCTCCGTTTCGCTATATTTTCGAAAGCTGAAATTTTGTATGTAGGTCCGTTTCATGTTGCAGATGTGCAATAAATAAGGATTTTTAAATATTCCAAATGGGTCGTCCCCACTAGGGATAAAAGGGGCGCGTTTACATATGAGAATTACCTTTTCATCACTATTTCTCCGTACCGCTATATATTCGGAGGTTGAAATTTTTAATGTAGTTTCTTTCTATATTCCAAGTGAGGCATCAGCCGCGGAGAAAAAAGGAGCATTCGTGAAATAAAGTTACCTTTTCATCACTGTTTCTCGATGCCCTTAAATTTCCGATGGGCGAATGTATATTTAGTATCAGCATTGCACCCGTGCGGAGGCGGACCAGATCGCCAGTCTATAATATGCATAGTATACATGTTACATACATATTAACCTTCCTCTTGAATCATTCTATCTATTACAAAACCTGCAT